ACCACGCATGCACAGACAGCTGGTTGGGAAGAGACCAATTTTGCCCATCACCAGAGTGCCCGGATGCCTTCAGAGAACTGCTCCCTGCTACTTCTTTACTCCCAAAGAGCGGGGTTGCCTGCACACCTGCCTGAACGGGCTCCCCGAAGGAAGCAGGCGAGGCAGGAAACCCGTCTGCAGCTTTGGCGGCAGGAGGCTCCCCGCTGTGCAGAGACCTGGAAGCCAAGGGCTGCTCGGGGAGGTCGGGCGCCTGGCCCGCCCGTTTTGATGAGCCAGCAGCGAGGTCGGTCTCTGCCGCGCTGCCCAGGACGGCGAGGTTCGGGAGGCCCGGAGCGGCAGGGGCACTGACCCCTTTCTCAGCCAGGACAGTGGCATCTGCCGCGGCCATCTGAGCGCTCGGGACTCTTCTGCCAGCCCGCAGCCTCTCCTGCACACACTTCAACTCAAACACATTCTCTGGTGTCAAGGCAGATTGCCACTTGTCACTGTCATTTTGCTGACACTTTGCCAAAGTCAAAATGTTCTCCGCGTAGTTATTCAAGCCAGTCTCTATGTTGTCAGAGTCAATAATTGCAGAGTATTTCTCAGCGTATTTTTTGAACAGGTCGGCAGCGCAGACCTCAGAGATCTCCGAGTTTGCCCATGCATACTGAATGCGCAGGATTTGGGCACGATATCCATCTGCCTTCTGCCCGGGCGTGCAGGTGCCAGAGGTAATAGCAAAGTAACTTTTCTGCCAGTCGCTCAGGTGCACGGTGCTGCGGGGGGGCTCCTCCATCACCGACACTGCCACATGAACAAAAGCCCAGTTGTTACAGCAACAAACTTCACAACTATTTATTTTAGCAGCTTCCCCCTTTCAAAAACATATAAACGAAAATATAAAATCTAACTCTGAGTGCAGTCCCTTGACCCTTTTGCCCCTTGGCCAGTCATTTCATCAGTGTTAAGAAAGGAGATGTATGGTATAAAGCCATTAAGATGGAGGTTCTCTTTTGTGTTGTTCAAGGAAAAAAAAAAAAAGAAAGAAAAAAAAAAAGAAGAAAACTTTGCTTCTAATCACAGGTCTCCTGGGGAGGGAAGCAGACTGCAAAGAATGGTAACAGATGGCCAAAAAAAAATTGGCCTTGTTAAGAGAAATCAGCCGTGGTTTTACTCTTATTGGAGAGTACTGGATGGTGCAGCAGAGGACATACTGCAGATCACTGTCCGAAAACTAATAAATAAAACTGTGTGCAAGATCTGTGGGGGAGAGGGCAGCGGAATGAGGAGGCCTGAATTTAGTAAACTTTCAGATTTAAAAAAAATATATATTTAGACTCCTAATAAGCAGCTAAAGCTGCTGCGAGCCTTTAGAAAGCTCTCCATTTTAGCCTTCAAAGAAAGAAACAGCTTGTATCTTTAGAGTGATGCTTATTTTCAGCTATAGAAGTCAGAGCTTAAATTCCTTCAACCATTTCTGAGTTTAAGAAATACATAAGATAGTATTTAGCTAGGAACGCACATTTACTAAGTTTGAAAAAAATTGTTTTTTCTTTTATAAAATTTCAAAGAACTTTTTCTCTGCAGCGTGGTCATAGGCAAAAATACTTCTTAAAGTCAAGAGTGAATGATTTCAGAAGATACAGAGCCACGTATAAAAATACGGGATAGCTACCTCAAAAGGGCTTACCCTAGTGCACTGTAATTTCCATCTTTTGATCTGCCCCCAAAAGACAATTTAATTAACATGCCACTTATTAATGACATTAAACAAATATGTCATTCGTTTAATGCGTGACATGACTGAAATACATCAAATTCTGATTTCTCTTTTTAACCTCAAGTTGATTTGTGATTTGGGGTTAAATATACTTAAAGCAAAAGCAGCTAAAGCGCAGGTCCGTCTACTCTGCACTCCTCCTGGAAACACAAGCACAGGAAGGGAGTAAATGCCGGGAGTGCACTTGCCAGTCCTCCCTGGAGTCAGTGTGGGCTATGCCAGCAGGTACACTTGCCTAAGGGGGCTCAGAACAGGACTGGAAAGAGATCAAAGGAATATTGTGGGGAATTTCCTCTTCATATGCTCTCCAAAGCATCTTGGGTCTGTGACTGCATCCGTCCGCCTCAACAGACAGGATAATCTTAACAAGAAAACAGGGCTTACACAGGTAATAAGATGAAGGCAAATTAATTGGGTTTAAACTTAAACCCAACTTCATAGAGCTGTTTAGAAAAACGAGAACGTCTTTCAGAATGAATCATCACTTTAAAATCTATATATGCTCACACTGACAACTTCTAAAGTATTATAGTCTCATGAAATTGGAGTAATTTCCTTCCTAACACTCAGTTTAATAAACAGTCACATGCTACATGCTGCGCTCCAGTTTCACAGTGCACATGCCTGAGTGAGGTGCAAGTTCCAGCTTGTGTGACAGGTGACCAAGAGCTGGAGAGCTCAGACCTCTCTGCCACTTCTCTTACCTTTTCCACACCAAACAGGAACGACCTGAGCATCTCTGACACCCTGAAGGGCTGCGCCACCATACAGAGCGACCTGGACAGGCTGGACAACTGGGTGGTGAGAAACCTCATGAAGTTCAACAAGGGCAAGTGCAGGGTCCTGCACCTGGGGAGGAACAACCCCAGGCACCAGGACAGATGAGGGGTGGACCTGCTGGAGAGCAGCTCTGTCAAGAGGGCATCATGGTGGACGAGATGTTGACCATGAGGCAGCAGTGTGCCCTGGTGGCCAAGAAGGCCAACGGGATCCTGGGGTGCATTAAGAAGAGTGTCTCCAGCAGGTCGAGGGAGGTGATTGTCCCCCTCTACTCAGCCCTGGTGAGGCCACATCTGGAGTACTGCGTCCAGTTCTGGGCTCCCCAGTACAAGAGGGATGTGGAGCTGCTGGAGAGAGTCCAGCGCAGGGCTATGAAGATGATCAGGGGCCTGGAACATCTGCCCTATGAGCAAAGGCTGAGAGAGCTGGGCCTGTTCAGCCTGAGGAAGAGGAGGCTGAGGGGGGACCTGATCAGCGTGTATAAATACCTCAAGGGAGGCAGTGAGGAGGAGGGGGCCAGCCTCTTTTCAGTGGTGGGCAGGGATAGGACTAGAGGAAACGGCCACAAGCTGAGGCACCAGAAGTTCCACAGGAACTTAAGGAAAAACTTCTTGACAGTGAGGGTGACAGAGCCCTGGAACAGGCTGCCCAGAGAGGTTGTGGAGTCTCCTTCTTTGGAGATCTTTAAAACCCACTTGGACGCAGCCCTGTGCCACGTGCTCTAGGTGACCCTGCGTGTGCAGGTGGGTTGGACCTGATGATCTCTAGAGGTCCCTTACAACTGTAAAGATTCTGTGATTCTATGACTTCTCCAAGTGCCCAGTCTCTGACAAGGGCCCTCTCCAAGGGCCCAACAAGTTTTCTTCCAGCTCAAGACCACCTCTAGGTGGCTCTACTCCCCAAACTGCTCCTCTCCTACTGTGCCCATCACTTTTTCCTAAGTGTCAATTCAAGAGCATCTTATGAAATGCAAGATATAGGTTCAGAGAAAAGCTAAATACAAGGTGCTCCCTTAGGTAAGACTTTTCTGTAACAGTACATCATGGGGAATACAGCATTGCAAACCAGCCATCACTTCTCAACAGGTTAGTAATTGTTTCCCACAGCTCTGAGTGAAGCTCTCATTTTGAACCACATCAAGTAATAGATGGACTCAAAGGAATTAAACTCTGCCCCTGTAGAACAGATGCCTTCAGTTTTAACAGCTGATCCCCAAACTTAGTGATACGTGACCAAACAGCCAGTGCTTACAAACGACTGCAGAATTAACAAAACCTCCATGCACGGGACAGCCCTTTGCCAAGGAACAACTCTGGCTCCTTATGTCCACCATCAGGTAGCTACTGTACCTCATTCATAACTTTAACTTTTCTCCTCAGAGGTCTTCCAACACCGCATTCCCCCGCTATTCCAGCTCGCGCCAGGGGACGCGCCCCCTCCCCCGCGCACAGAGCCTAGCTCCTCCGCACCGGGGCCGTTAACGGTCCCCATTACCAGGGGCACCGCGGAGGGCGGTTCAACGGCCGCCAACGGCCTCCCGAGGACGGGGGGGGGAGGGGGGGTGACCCCTGTCACGCGCCCGCCGCCGCCCGGGCCCCTCCCGCCGCGCGCCGCGCGCACCCACCGGCCGCGCGCCTCCTCGGCGTCCGCGCGCGCTCTGCCCCGAGGCCCCACCCCCCGCGCTGTCGGCCAATCGGAGAGCAAGGCCCTGGGCCAGAGAACCAATCGGAACGCGAGAGGGAGGGCAGGGTCGAGGCGGGAAGAGTCGCTTGCCCTTACGTCAGCGCCGGGCTTGCCCGCTGTGAGGTGGAGGCCGCCGGGGATTGGCTGCCGGGGCCTGCGCGCGGGCTCTCCCGCTGTCTATTGGCTGCGAGGGGGGCGCCCGCCCTCCAATGGGGATGGGGTGCGTGCGGGAGCGGGCGGTGCTGCGTGTGGGACGTGACGCGCGTGGGGGTGTAGAGAGGGCGGGGAGGGGGCGCTGCGGGCCGGTGCCCGTGTCCGTGTCCCAGCCGCATCCCCAGGGCAGCTGGTGCGGCTCCCTCGGGATGGGTACCCTGCTGCAGTGACCCCGCGGACAGCACTGAGTCAAGGGCACCGAAGGGGTGCAGCTGCGGCCCTTAGCGGAGCTGGGAAGGAAAACCCCTGGAAGACATCTGGCGAGAATAAAACGGGAAACCTTGGTCAGGACCAGGACACAGGCTGCAGGCGTAGCTTCGGTTCCATTTATTACTGCAGTCAATAAAACCCATGTGTTTGGTTAACAGGCTTTAAACGCGATCTAACAGCAGAGAAACTCCACAGGTCACAGCTACAACAACAAAGCACTGGAAGTCTGAGTGTTTTTCTAGTCAGGTCTTAAAGACTTCCACATACACTACTTAAATATCCACCGACTGTAGTTTTATCCCTCCCCATCGCCACCGTCCCAGTGCTCCAGGCAAAGTAACACGTTCCACTTGCTCCTGCCTTTGAGCAGTTCAAGTGTACGTATAGTCTAAAGGTTCAGACCACAGTTAAGGCAGTGGCAACGTGAGTGCTACTCATCATCATATCATACTGCAGCTGGCAACAGATAAAATCATCCTTTAACAGAAGCTTTTTTTGTGAAGGCAAAAATAAATTAGAAATTTAATAATTATAACGCAGTGCGGAATATGTTGGCAATAAATTGATAAATACGTATCTTTTCAATATTTTATAATCAGTAATAAAATATAATCTGTCATTATTAATAAGAATGTAAATATTGTACTAGCATTGTACTAGTTTAAAATAAAACTCTGTACGGTTACTGAAAAAATTGCTTTTTTCCCCATTCCTTGTCTAGTAGCTGCACTGTCTTATTTGAGATCTGGATATACTACTAAAGTGCAATTCCAAGATTTCATAATTAACATCAAACAGTATTAATCAGCACAGACACAAGGCACAATAAATCCAGGTCGACATATTAACTATTCATAAATACAGCGTTCACCACCAGAAGTAATTTCACTTAGAGATACATTGCAGAGCTACGGAACAGAAACACCGCTTAGGCTTTTTCTTTCAAAAACGCTATTTTCAACACTTTTGTTCGAGTTGATGATATAGCCCAGATTTTTTTTTTAAGATGTCTTGGGAAAAGAGAACATGAGAGACTGCTAAATACACCTTCATTGATTACAGATTCAGATCATCCCAGGATTTCAGGGAAAAAATAAATGCAACTATGAAATTTAGATTTCTGTATTGTGCCAGCTATGGGGAAATGTAATTCCATGGGTGTTCTCACCACTCCTGGCTAAAGTTATGCTTAAATCCCTTCTTTATAAATAAACAACTTTATTCACCATGTTTTAACCCAACCGTTACACTCTGTTCTCTGCCAGAAGGACCTTTGGTGTCCGGACAAGGAGCTGACATCCTGAGTGCCAACGAAGGCTCAGTGGCTGTTGCTTTGGTGCCCGTTTCCCACGGGAGGTCTCACGGCATCTTGGCCACCCGTCCGGGCTGTTTCCCCGTGCCTGGCCTTGGCTGCATGTCCTGAGCACGTCCCACTTCCTGCGGCGCTCCGGGTCTTCCACGGGCAGGAAGGGATCTCTGCTGAGGACCTCTTATGTTCAGCGTCGTGTTGTTTGACATTATGCACTTCATTTCCAATTCCTCTTAGTCAGGTTTTAATTTCAATTGCACGTTGAACAGTCACATAACCCAAAGCAACTCTGTTTAATTTCAGGGGAATTAGCCCGGATTTACTCTTGCATAGCTTTGGTCAGAATCTCATCTCTTTTTTTTTTTTTTCCTCATTGTTCACATACTTCACAGATGAAATATCAAAATATTGTCCTGGCTCCTACAGAAGGTGGAGTTCTTCTCCAACTCCAGGATTCTCAAGTTTTCATAATGGGAAAGCTATAAAAATTATGCCAGTATGGACTGTATTTGCTATGAATGAATTTTGTTTCCCAAGTCATGAGAGAAGACTACTGCTGCTTTAAAAATAAGAGAAATAACAAAAATAGCTACCAGCCTTTTCAGTTCTGTTCAGCTCAAATTTATTGTACTGCGCTATCACAGGAAGCCTTGATTTCAAATCAGTTCTGCTAAAGATAACAATGTTATCAGCATATCTGATCATGTAGCTGAGAGCAGTATCTTGGGGAATGGCTCCCTCACCTGCTGGAATATTACTTGTTTCTGCAGGATTCATTTGTTTTAGTTTGCTTCATCTGCTAAACATGAAATCAGCTCTTTAATGAAATAGAAATCTACTCCTAGCTCAGAAAAAAATCTACCTGGTCCACAGGGTGCTTCCATCATCCCTTCTGGATAGAAGCAGACTCGGTGCCCAGCTAACTGACCTGAGGCACCCACGTAACTTCATGGATGTAGGAGGCACCTTGCATGGCATAGAGGAAGGAAACTCAGCAGTTTGGGAAGTTGTTCAGTATAAAGTTGTTCAATGAAAAGAACAACAAAAGGGAAAGATTAAGACAAATAAAACATAGCAATAAATCCTGCAGATAATCTTTTGGGAATATGTAGAACTATCTTTGGAATTTATGTAGTGGTGTCACTGCATATTACTTTACTTTGTGAAGACTGCTTTTTTTTCATTACATTTATATTTCAGACTTACTTGTTGATGGAACAAAAACACTGATGAGATTACCAAAGTATATTTTGGGGCCTGTTCTTCACTTTTAAACTAATTTGAGAAACCAAAAGCATCATTTTTGCAATCACTCTGTGTACACACACACACTGAAATAAATACCACAGTAGCCATAAAAATCATGGTGCTCCATTCCTCAAAAGATATTTTTCAAATTATTTTTCAAGTAATTACTGCTTATAGTAGCCCGATTAGTAACAGGGAAGACCAGGTAGCGCATCGGTTTTGACACAACCCCCTGGCAAGGAGCGTGTAAGAGGCACTGTTAGGAGCGCTCAGAGTGAACACGCGTAGGCAGCCGTGCAAACCGCTCGCTGAGGCTTCTGAAAACGGCTCTTTGAAAGCAAACCCTTGACGGGGGAGCAGCGAACCTGCCGAGAGCGCTGCCGGCGCCCACGTGGTGCCCACGCACCCCTGGTTTGGATCTCGAGGGAGAGAAGTCCCCAAGGGCTTAACTCCTCTTGCCAAACTACTGTGGCAAGTGCGTCGTGACAGGGCAGTGCCCGGGCTGGGTCAGCGTTTGTCTAGCCGGTTTAGCTAGGCCCAAGCAGCACTACAACTGGACTACGGAGCTCCCTATAGTCTGAATTTTATGAGGTCATCCTGGTGTTTATTAATTAGTTATGTCTCCTCATGGTTTCATCTGGGAAGAGGGTGTGGATGTGCCAGGGGTTTATGGGGACAATGTGCTGCCTCCGTAAGCGCTTGGGATTACAGAGGAAGGAGAGCACCGCTCCAGCACCTTCGGCTACGTCCAACCCCAAAGAGCCAGGGTGAAATCACAGAGCGCAGAGTGATGGCAGAGGTCACAACACAACTTGCTGGCAATGAGCTGGGCTATAGGGCAATGTGCTAATACAGCTGGGCTATAGGACAACACTTAGGGATTTTCTCCTCGCGTAATTTGAATTTCCCACCTGCCCCTAAAACAGAACTTGGCGACACAGAGCAAGCCAGTTGATTCCCTCCTGCCCGCTGCTCTTTCAGCACTGCTCCTGCTCCTGCTGCTGCTGCTGGTTTGGCTCCCATGTTTCTAGGAGCTCCGTTGCCAGCTGTGAGATGTGCTGCCAGGCGAACTGCACGTGGGCGCATTCCACCGTGCGGGAGCAAATAGCAAAGCGCAGCACAAACTTTTCTCGCAGGTGGCACGGGACCAGATGAATCTTCTTGGCGTCGTTTATGGTCTTTAGAAGTGCCTTGTTTAGTTCGTTGGAGCCCTGGAACAATTGCAGTTCAACAGACAGGGTGGTGAATTTCAGCAGCTCGTCTGGATCATGCAAATCCCACCAAGCAGCCAAGCCAAAGCAGCACCCGCAACGTGCAGCCACTTTCTCCGCTCACAGCTCAAGTCTCTCAGTGCTTTTGCCACCAAAGGATTGTAAGATGATGGCTCAAAAGATCATTTTTTTCAGCCACAAATAGATTTATGGATTAACTGTGCTTTAAAAGCTATGTGCACACTGAGGCCCTTGTGATACTGAAGCTTTTCTTCATGACCTAAGGATATGAGCTATGTTTGCTTTATATAAAAGCATTCGTTATTGCATCCATTTCATTACACTTTTCTCAGACCTAATCAAACACACGAGAGGCAGTTTTGCAATGAACTATACTGACCTTTGTAAAGCAAATCTTCAGTCCTCGCTTAAGCAAGGCTCCTATTAGAGAGTCTTCTGACTATGAAGGTGAAAATCTTACTCTTAGTAAAGAAAAAGTAATGTACCCTGGCATATTCTCAGTACAATCAAAGACTAAATCTGCTGCTGCCTATCAGTAAAAACCCTAAAGAAGTATTTGCCTTGAGTTCTGTAGGAAGAGAGAACAGACACTGATCCCGAGTCACACCGAGTCTTTTCTTGGGGATTCTAGAAAGGTGGTAAACAGACCCTCCCACTGCAAACAAACATCATGCCTTTTTTTTTTTTTTTTTTCTGCATTCAGCAAAAAAAAAAGTAGAAATGTGGAGGATCTTGCAGAAGGTGCCCACGACTCAACATGCTTCCCCTTGCAACATAGTCACATCTCTTTGTGCTCAAATACGAACTGTGAGCATTTCCTTCAGAGGAACTACATACTTTCAATACAAAATCCTATTAGGAACAGGACTGCACAGGGGAGTAACAATCCTATTGCAGACTGAGCTAATGTTGAATTAGTGGCTTTCCCATTTTATGTTTATCAGCATTGGAGACTAAAACTAAAGATGTCATCAGGCTTCCAAAACCAAGTCAATTGCTGTATATGAAATCCTTACTCGAAAGGCTACAGCACCTGGGGTTTTTGTCCAATTTAGCAATGCAGGATAAAGTCCTAACTGCCTATCTTAGTCTTTGTTAACCAAATGAGAGGAACCTGCCTCTCTGATTTTTGTATCAGAAGTCTGAAAGACGGCTTCAGGTTTTCTGGGCATTTTGCCATGATAGCTTTGGATGTACTGTGTTAATCCTGAGTGCTGTATTTTCCCTTTCCTTCATTTCTGTTTTCTTGCTGGTGACACAGGACTGCAATAGAGGCTGAGAGCTCTGATGTTCCCTGTGAGGGAACTCAGTGAGCCCTGGAAATGGATGAATCTTTCTGTAACATGTCTGGCAGGTGCCTTCTTACTGCAGTGGCCATAGATGTTCTTGAGAACCTCGCCATGAGGGCACACGACTTGCAAATCTGCACAGCTGTGGCCTGCCCACTTAGCTATCTGCCTATGAAAGCAGAGCCTCAGGGAGAGAGCTCTCCTTGGCACAGGGGAGAAATGCATTTGGCTCTTGTTTGTGGATCGTATTCCAAGTAGAGATGATCCCAAGTCAAATCATTGCTTCTGACTTAGCATGAATGAATTTTTAGGGAATTTGGATGTGGGTCTGAGATGGCGGATATATTCTATTCAGCTTCTGTGAGGGCATTGTGAATGCCCCAGTCTAAACAAAAAAGACTAACCTTGGTGGTTTACATATTTCTTGGCTCAGTACAGGCCAACCTCTCGTGACAACCATGGATTGCTTTCCTACCAAAGGTAACCCATTAGTAAAGCAGTGATCCTTAGCCTTAGTATTAAAGGCATGTCGCTGCTCCGCAGGCAGCACAAGCCGCTACATGATGGTGTTAAGGCAGTGCCTTGGGCCGGCGTGAGCGGCGGAAGGGAGACGGCTCCTGTATCCTCCGTCCCACTCCCAGAGCTGCTCCTCGGGGCCTCTGCGACACACGGGTGTCACATCACATCCGTGTTAGCTCTGGCTAATCCTCTCCCAGAGCTTTGGGAAGCTACAAGCCAGCTCTGATCGAGTCTGTCAGCTTTAATACGTCAGAGTCCTCATCCCCTTGGAGAAACGACTAGCTTGGCTTGTACTCCTGTGCCGACTTGGCAGAAGAGCCAAGAGTTAACCCTTTGGCCAGATTCTTTCCCTGGCATTTGATGAGATGATAGTTATCATGGAAATCAGAGATTATTAGTCTGCTCAACAGCATGAAAGCCAAAGCATAAAAAGTCACAGTTAAGTAAATAAAAAGGGGATTTCTGAATCCTTTTTCTTCTCAATCAAATGAAGGAAAACTATTGCTACATTTAAATGGCATCGCAGTTCAAGTCCCCTGTCCTTATGTATACGTAACTTCTATAAAATACATAAACAACACATCTATATAATATATATATTATAATATATAAAAATTACAAGTATTCTACTTCTCAGGTATATTCTAAAATGAATTATTAGAAAAACACAGGAGGATGTTTAAAGAGCGATTTTAAAAAGGAAATAGAGTTGCAAAAACAATCATAAACAACTATTAATTTTAAAACTGTTAGTTTTGTTTTCCATTTTTGGACGGGGAAAGCAAGTGTTATAAACACAACACTGTTTCAACCCTGGTGTTCATAAAAATCTCACCTTTATTCCACAACTTTTTCCGAAGTTTCTTAGCTAGGTATTCAGTGTTTACCTACTGCTGTATAATTATTTTCTCTCCCTGCAGATCTTATTTCTTTCTCTGGAGCACCAGGGACAGGTGCCCAGCTGTAGATGAACCACTGGTCTGATGAAATGTGACAATTCCTATGCTGCTATGCTCTACTTCACCAGGACTGTTCTTTTAAAGTAAATGCAGAGCATGACTAACAGCTGTCTCTGGACCTGCAAAACTCACTGTTTGCTTGTTCCACATCAGGGAGCAGCATCTTGCTACTGAGCAGAAAGGGCCACAGAACATATACCTCAACATCTTCAAAAAGTTCTTGTTAGGAAAGAAGTTATTCTCAGGTTTCCACTTACTGGAAGAACTCCACAGTATGTAACTCACCTGTTCCTCTTGCAGCAGGTCCCTTCCTTTGTTTTAATATACAAGACATTTTAAACATCAAAATGCAAATGGTTTCATTTACCATTTGCTTTAACCCTCACTGTCAGTGATTCATCAGAGTGCACCAGACTCAGGAACTGGGACAACTGAACAACTGAGAAAAAAACTTTGTGAAAAGTCATACCACGTAACCCCGAGGGAGCTGAGGTGCGCTTGTGAACCTTCAGGAAAGATGAAAAACTCATTTTGGTATCAGGTGAACTAGGAAACAGCAGTGCTGTTTTTCTTACCGTGCAGGTTCAGTGTTGCAGTCCAGCTCTTTACAGAAGCCTTAGTTGCCAGCACCTCTATTAAATGAGTTCTTTGCATAAAAGAAGAAATTCCTCACCTTTCAAAGTTCAATTAAACAAGTGAACCCTCCCAGCAGCTCTTATGCTCTGGGTTTACAGGCAAGGTCTCTGCATTAATGGAGTTGGTACATGCAGAAATATGAGGGAATGGAAAGTCAGAAGATTCACATTTGGAAAGCAAACAGCCTGGAGACCAGGACCAAGGGCAACTGGGAGCCTAGGTGGTCATGCAGCCTGTTCTTACCTATAGCTTATTTCAATTTGCCCAATTTGCTCTAGGATTTTATAGTTTAAAATGCTTTTTTTTTTTTAAAGAAAAGAACAACAACAAGCTACTACTTTAAACTTAATATATGATAGATGTGGTCTGCTTTTACACATACTACATGTTTCTGCTCAATTTTTTTTTTACATATATATAAACTGTACATTATGTATATACAAAATTAACATAACCAGAAACATCTAGTATATACAGTGTGTGTATATACACAGTGTGTGTATATATACAGTGTGTGTACATATACAGACACATGCATGCCATAAATATAAAGGACTTTGTAGATTACTCATTCTTTTCAATAATAAATCCATCATACATCTACAAGTTAACAATCAGATTCATTCTGAGCAGTATGAATGGGTTTAACATAGAACCACTATTAATTTAATTGAACAGTCCCATCTATTCGAACTGCACCTAAGGCATACTGATCAATGTGGCCCTAAAAGTTAAAATGAAAGATTTGACATTGATACTTCAGACCGTAACAAATGTAACATTTGTCATTATTTCCTTAAGTCTTCTTTCAAAAATAAGTACTTTTCCTGTTAATACACCTACTACTGCTTATTAATGAAAACGCCAATTGAATTAACAATCAAAATCAATTTTACCAATCAATTCTGAATTAAAAATAAATGAAGAAGACCACAATGTAACAGTCATTTTCCATGACTATTGAGTAGAGTTAAAACTCCCTCTGAGTCTTGCTTATACATTTCTATATCCTAATATGCTTGAATTTCTCATAAGCGTTTGGTTAAATTTTAAGTAACTTTGTCTAAAGCTTCCTTCTTTGATTTGTTATGATGTATGTGAATGTCCCTTACCGTCTTTAAAAAATACCAGGGAAATGCATTAGCTATCCACCCTGTGCGCCGTTTTGCTGCAGAACAGGGCAGCACAGAGAGGAGGGTTGCGCCGCGTTACCTTTAGCCGGAAACAGACGAGTCCCAGGATGACCTCGGCACAGATCTCAAATCGTTCGTCCTGAAGCACCAAGCGTTCAAACTGGTGGGACAGCCTCACGTGCTGGGAAGACAACAAGAGTGTCTAGATTGTATAAATGCAATTCATCAGGACAAAAATACTGCTAAATGGTTTCCATTCCTAATCTCTTTGCTCCCTTCTGCTACGTGTCAGCATTCACATAGAGCCATCTGCTCACACCGACTTGCGTCTCGTTCATGACTCTCAGAGACTGCTGAGCAGTTACTGCATGAGATGCTCAGCCTACCTTAGGCAGTAACTGATCCGTTTGTTAAGGAATTGTTCACGTGCAGTTTCATACCCGTATGCTGCCATAGCAAAATAATATTCATAATTGCTGTTTAGGTCTTCTACCACTCACAGTTTTGCTTGAGACTGGCTAAAAAGTCCAAAAGTTACTATGCGGGAGAAGGAGAAAGTGAACAGACTTATACAATGATCGATATGTAAGTAGAAAACAAGCTAGAAAAGCATTACAATATGCCTTTTCAGTATAAGAGATAATGTAACTGAAGAAGGGGAGAACTTGCCAGCTTGTCTGAGGGGTAATTGGGGTCAATTGAAAAGAAAAAAGAGTGGTCTGATCAATGAAATGGACATCAAATCTCTGCTATCCATTTCCAAAAATCCAAGGAAAAACAATCAGCAAAAATAAAAACTTTATTTTGGGCCAAGGCTAAATGTGGACTGTTTCATCTCATAAGAACTTCTTTTCCAGAAAAGCAAGAACAAAGAAAACAGAAATTAACACGAAAACAAAACTAAACATCTTATTGCCTTAATTGTAGTTTTCTAATGTTTTCTTATTGCTTAAAATAGAAGAGCTTTTATACTGAATCAAAACATTGATTTAAAAACTTTCAGGTCAGACATGTTGACAGCCTTTGTAACCAGGTGCTCTTGTTACCACTTCTTTTCTGCTATTTGCTATATCCATCCATCTTCTGCCTCTTAAATTAGACTGAAATGTCCCTCAGTCAGGAACAAGATCAATAAAACACCCAATCCCTCTCAAGGCATTTGTGTATTCTGCTAATAAAAATAGCGTAAGTTTCCAAGCATGAAAACTGACCAGAATTATATGTATACACTCATAAACTTGTATACATAAGTGCACATAAAAAATATGAGGCATGCACACATACTGTAACAATCTTTTACTATTCTTTCCTATCCTTATGTTCTATAGCATTAACTAAATTTATGTCTTACATAGACAGTCATGCAGAATTTCACAGATCACATTACCAGGCCTTGGAAATCACAACCATTAAAAGTTTTTCCCTCACACTGCATGAGAGCAGAGCAGAATTTCACAAACTTCAGGAAGGAGCTTAATTACCACCTGACCTCAATCTACATCTAAAAGCTGAAAGAAACATCCAACCAAACCAAATTGTCTCATTGCAAGCAGTTTGTACAAGGAAAATCTAAGTTCTCACTGTACCTTACTTAGCAGGTGTTTATGTCCATTTTTTTCACTAATGAATTTTTCAGAAGTTCAGAAAATGTAAAAACAAGGAAAATAAAGAGTATTTCTTAAAACACAAATGCAGCAAAAATGCTGGAAGTATCTGGTATTCATATATGGGCGCAAGTAATTTTATCCATAGCAGATTTTTCTAAGTATGAATAATTTGTCAAACCACTGGAGGGCACCAAATGCCTTAGGTTTTACAAAACCAGAACGTGACTATAAGCAGAGCCTAAAGGAGGTTTCCCATGGTTGGCTTTGCAGAGCAGCTCCCCAGGCCCTGGGCCTTTGCATGGCGAGGATGGCTGCAGCCTCAGCAGCCCAACTGAAGTAAACTCAGAGAAGTTAAACATTATTAAACCTGGCATTTCCTGCTGTGTGAAACTGAAGGGCTGTTGGGTGGCCTGTCTGCCCCTCTGCGGCCCAACGAGCGGTACCGGCCCACGCAGGACACGGGCAGGTTTCATCCTTCAGCCTCTCCAGTCACACAGCGGGGCTGTGGGAACACAGAACTGCTTGGAGAACCAAGGACACGCGAAAGAGGGAGAGGAAGGGGGTCCTGGAGAGCTCACAGACAAGCAGGGGTTCCCAGCTTTCCCAGCTTTCCGCTGTGTGTTCAAAGCAGCCTGACCCAGGAATATTACAGGCCTGCGGGGCCTTGGGAAGCGGGAACTGGGTGGCAGCCCTTCTCCTAGGGAAATCTGGCTGACGGAAGGAAAGGAGTTTAAAAGGAATTGTTGAGTATTGTTGTCTCAGGAAAATAACCAGAGTCTTTTTGCGGGGAGGGACAGGGAGAAAAAGAGTCTCTACTTCATGTGATTATTCCAGATTAAGGAAAACTCTTACATAATCACTAAAGGGAGCAGTGAACTTGTGAGCCATTAAAAATTGGTCCATATCTACATGTCATATAAAAAGGTCATATATGCATGTGTGCTATGCATGTGTGCACACATACACGCACACAGCTGCCTGTGTATGTATATGTGGGCTCCTGCATAGAAGGGCTTCCAATGAATACTGCTTGTGGGGCAAACCCTTAAAACACTAAAGGAGGCTTGGATGGGAAGTTCTCTGAAGCCTCAGGGTAAAATAACACATATATACATGTACACATACTGCCTGGCCTTGATCACCTGATATTTTTCTTCCTATAGATGCCACCCCTCTGCAGGCTTTAGCTCACACTGCAAAGGGCAGCCCCGAGAGTCTTCTCAAGAACCGTTTGCACTGAGCCAACCCCACTGAAATACCGTCCTGGCATTGCTGCTCTGCACAGCTCCGGTCTCTTCATCTCTGATGTTATTTTTTTAATGAAATTCATTATCCTTGCTGAGGAAAGAAGGATGTGATGCACTGAATTCTCATGAACGTACTGAAGTTTCCTCTGAATTAAAGTGCTCCTGGGATCACATCCCAAAACTTCTGAATTTCTCAAATGACTTCTGAGTGCTCTCATATGATTTACAATGGCACAATAATAACATGCAGGCCATTTCCATGGGTTGCTTACAGGTGGGCCAGCTACACTTGGGGTTTCGCACTGATACTGCCCCTGCATGTGTGCCCACAAGCCTGTTGATGCCCTCCACATCTCTGGAATTTACCTCCAACACTAGATTTTCCTCTCTCCACATTCTTGAGAGATGACTGCGCTTTTCTGCACAACAGAAAATATCATGAGCAGGTAGTTGCACATATCATTGGTTTTCTCCAGAGAAACCTGCTCATCACACAGCAAATATGGTGGCTTCTCAAGCATATTCACTGTTTGTTCTCTTTGCAGGTCAGAATCTCCTCATCACTGAAAATCTCAGCCACTTTGCAAGTAAAAGATGGCTTTGCAAAGAAAGCCTGATTAAAAGTATATAAACACTGGATAAATCCTTAAATTTCCAGTGAATTAGCAGCTAATGTGTCATTTTACTGCACATCTCTTCACATTAATAAACTTTGGACATATTAGCATTGCATTATATTAGCATGCAATATAGCAATGCTAACAAGCTGTAAATTGAGCGCATCCTTCTTAAAAAGAAATGAAGTTTGTTCTGAACAGGAAAAAGAAAACAAAGCATAAATTATCACTTAAAGGATAAAAATGAATGATCAGTATGTTACTGTATCACAAAATATCACCCAACAAATTAAGCATAATCTAACATAATATCAACATGTGCCCATTAGCGAAATCAAGATATAATGAATGTTTCCATTTTCTTCCCCAGTAAAACCACTAACGTGCTTTAGCTTAAAGTGAAAGGGAAATTTGGTCCCACATTTCATAAATTCCAAGTTCCTAGATTTTCTTTTCTTGCCCAAAGTTGGTTGGCTGATGGTTTGGCTGATGGTTTGGGCCCTGCCACCACGCGAAGCTGTGACGCTACAGGCAGCAAACGAAGAGCTCTCCTGTGGAGCAGGGCTGACCAGAGGCTCTCTGTGCTCTCTGTCCCTACGGCAGCCGGGAACCCACGCAGGTTTTAATTCCCTGCCCCCTCCCTGTCCCGCAAGCCAGGCAGGAAGCGCGCAGCGGTCACCTTGCGGATGTGCTCCTGCAGCCCCGTCACCCCGTACATCCTCAGCACGAACCAGAGCTTCAGCGAGCGGAACCGCCTCCCCAGGGGGATTTGCCAGTGCTGCAAGACAAGAAGGGAGGGCGCCCGCGTTAGGAGCCACCCTTGCAGTGCTGCCCCACACGCTGCACGCTGTGCGACGGCCGTGGGACGTGCCGCGGTCCCCCATCCTGCAGGCGTGCGGGTGTCCGGGCAGCCACCACCAGAACCAGCTGATCCTGGCCCATGCCCCAGCCTGGCTGCTGCTACTCGGCATTTTCCGTGAAAAGTGGAGGAGAGGACTGGTGTCCAAATGGGAAAAAAACAAATCTTTGGAAACACCAAATTCTCCTTGAAGACTTTAGAAGAAAATAATGTCTTAGTAGTCCACAAGCATTAACTTGTTCACAGGTGTGAGCTAGTATTGTCGTTGCAGAATGATGGACCCATTTGGAAACAAATGTATTTCTACTGTCAAGGCTAAAGTGTGTATGTATATATACACACACTTATATACATATAGAATATATATATATTCTTTTTTTATGAAAAAAAGAACTTATTCACTAGGTTACGGAAAATTAAATCTTTAGGAAATGTATTTATACTGTCTAAATATTGAGTTGTCATCCATACAAAAAAATTTTTCTTCCAAATAAAGAGGGTTTAAGTTTTAGCTTTTGCTAAAACTTTCTGGCTTCAGGAATGCCAAGAACTTAGCTACATGAGCCTCCTTCCTAGAAATAAAGCTAAGGATTGGAGGTTATGAGAGTAATGAAAAAGAAAAGCATAGCCCTGGAAATATCAGTGTATGCAAAACAGTAACACCGATTATTTCTTTGATGTTGTACTTACCCGGTAATCTGTTACAAGACCTGAAAGTTAAAGAAAAAAAAATCACATTTCTTCATCTAAAGAGGCAAAATTTGCAATCATTCAAACTGCAATGAAAAGCTACACCTAGTGATCTGTCGTGTTTGCTGCAAACTTCAGCATCCCCAGTGCCCATAGGACCAGTAAATATTTCATAGAATATTTAGCAGCATACTACAGTAGGGTGCTTAAGCTCAGCTGGTGAGAATATAGCAATAACAAAATAAGTTTCAGGAAAAAAAAACACATTTTTTACTCTCAACTATATTTCAGACCAAATTCTGTGTTTCCCTTTCTCTTGCATGGAGAAAGAGTAGTTGATGAAACAGTTTTTATTAACTTGTTTGAAACAGTTTGTAGAATTCTCAAGCTCATTCATCACTCACTCTTTGCTGTGAAATTGTCGCCTTCTGCACCCCCGGGGAGCTGATAACTTTCTGACCGCTTTATTTACTCACTTGTGCATTTGTTGCCAATTTTTTCAGTATGTCCAGTGAGTGAAAGGAAAATTTGACTGAGAACTGGCCTTTTCTTGGATTTGAAAGATTGTATTTTGCATTTTTATGGCTTTTCATTTGATGCAGTCCAAGTGCCTTACAAATGCTGATGAACCAAGCCACAGAACAATTCAGGGTGGCAGGTAGAAGGCATTTTAGATGTCTTTTATAACAGCATGCAGGGTCGAAACATGTCTACCTTCTCTTCATGTCAGCTGATTAAACTGACTGTACAGTAAAGGAAACCATACTGGAACATCGACTTACCTGCACTTAGACAGTGACAGAAGTTACAATGGACTTAATCTGAAGCATTTTGGGGAGAATCTGCTTAGCTCTATTGTTCTGTTTTATTCTTCTGCAGTAGAGTAGAAACTTCAGTAGAAAATATGTGCTTAAATTTCGTGAGAAAATGCCATCTGAGTGCTCCTGGAATTAGCATCACAAGCTACTACATGGAACTGTAGCTTGTAAATTTGACAAGTGTATGTAATTTATGTTATTCCCAGGCTTCATATTTTCCAGGGAAATGTAACAACAGTATTTTCTGTGCTCTGGGTTCTTTTGCCAATGTTATCTAATGTACACAGTGAAAAAAAAAAGAGAAGAACACATGATTTCTTTCTCCTGCAATATATACCCATTTGGTTCACTAACTTGTTCCTTAAGGACTTCACTAGGGGTGGAATAAAGACCTAGACAATCATTAACCTGTTCGTGGACCTCAGGAGATGACCATTGTTGTCTTAGCTGAGCACCAAGGTAATTCGGTAATATTCATGTTCTTCTGCACCCTAGCAGACATTTTTCTGATAGCAGAAAGACTAGTAGCAAAGAGTGAGGCAACTGGTGATAGATAAATAAACCTACGCTCCTGTAACGGGCTGCGTCTAATGATCCACAACACCGCCTTTCACAAGCTGTGAAGCAGAATGCAATCAATGATTAGTCCTTGATTACAGGCTTTATTCCTACATCTGTATTTAACCAGGAGGAACTGAACTGTGGGAGCATATGTGGCACTCACAATAGACTATAAAGCTGCATTCTTCTAACAGTGCCATTAGGATCTGACCTATATCCAGGGTTGCCAGGCGAGCTAGTATAATCTTCCTGGTGTGATGATGCAAATCACACAAAATTATAATTAATGACAAAATAAAGACTTTCCCCTTGGGGGCACACATAATTGCCATATGGTTATTAAGAGTAATTGCTCACAGATAGATATATTTTTCCGCTCATTTAAATTCTTGAGTGAGAGATGAGTGAGTTCAAAAATGCCACTTCATTTGCCTTGTAAACCATGGTGGGAATTCTCCGACCTGAGACATACTCAGTTAAGAAACTAAGACCCTCCCTCAGACAAGTCTGATTTCCAGGAGTGCTGACATCCCATAAATCACACTGGGATCAATGGGGCTGTAACAGCCTAGCACCTTTGCAAATCTGGCCATTTTTACTGAAGGCATAAGTGTGGATTGGGTTTAGCAGTTCAACTAAAGACATTTGCATTTGAAAAAGTCTCATCCAGCTCTTTGGAAAATTGCTAGCAAATGGGAAGAGGGCTTAGAAAAACTTAGCTCCTCTGGACTGCTAATAGTCTGCTGACCTGTGTGGGATCGCTACATCCAGATCACATAACATACTACCACAGCCAGTGAAGACAAGACAAAGACTGAACAATTCCTTATCCAACTGAGGAAGGAAAGCTCCCAGGCCAAGCAAGCGGCCTCACTGAAAGAAGCTAATATTAAGGAAAGTGTTTTTTGGGTTTTTTTTTGGATGTTATTTAACCTGGGGAAGACCTAAGGTTCTTGTATCAGCACTCTCAGTTGTCACGAGAACGTATTTTCGCTTTAACTAGAGGAGTTGGATGTTTTCCCCTCAAGAGAACATTTACTATGTACCGGAAGTAAGTGCCAGTGATTCAAAAGTAATTACCATAATTTGTATTTTTCATTTAAAAAGGCAAACAAACAGGCACGTGTTTTTTTCCTAGCAATTCTAACCTTTGATGGTGAACCTCAGCTCCAGAGTCAACGCATTTTAGTGTTTATTGTTCTAACTGCATAACTTGGAAATGCAGAAAAGAAAAAAAAAAAAGGTGAAGCTTCTGCCAGTTCAGGATTAAGGCACAGGGTTCCATTATGCCCAGTAATTTTTAGTGAATGCTGAAATTCATAACAGAAAGAATAGAAAAGTACTTGGGGATATACTTTCAAACGCAGATGAAGAGCAACTCCAGGAAAAACAAGACACAAGGAACTTTCACCTGGGGAGGATGCACCTTTTGAGACCATTATGAATGAACCCGTGCCACATGTTGGCCCTGCACTGCTGTGACCTCACAGCTAGTCAGTTATCAAGCAAACATACAAAAACAGAGAGGCTTCGGGCTGGGAAACGACCGTCTGCAATTGCTAGGTGTGTGTCAGGAGAAACGTCGGTTCGTGAAGAAACTTTGTGCAGGGCCTAAAATCTCTAAGTACTTTGTGAGCATCTTCTGAGGAACGCTGTTCTGTGTGGCTTGATAGGAGGCACCTACGCCAATTGCTACGGTCAACGCAAGACAGAGTGCCCCAAGAGTATTGCAGGGACAGGACCGTGTGTCCCCGGGAGCTGGCATGCAAAAGGGAGCACACATCCAACACAGCTCACTGCAGGGAACATTTGCTCCTGACATGTGCAACTGAAAATGTGAATCAGAGCCTGCATAGCCAGGAAAAAAAAAATCAAACACATCGCAGGCATTGAAAATGATTAAACAATGATAAATTATAAAAAATTATAAAGAAACAGTTCTAGTGAATGTTATGTTGGGGAAAGCAGAGTAAGGAACAGACACACAGCACTTGACTTCCAAAAGACTTTCCAAAAAAATTTGGTTAATGCTCATGCAAAGAGTCAGCATTAAATCTGGAGCTGTGGAAATCCCAAAACAAAAGTATCACTTTAATGCTTCTTAAAATGGCTTTTCCTTAATTGCTTTTGATATCAACTAAAAATCTCACTAGATGCGTCTGCATTTTAATACGCTTAATTCTCTAAAACACTTTGGAAATGGAAATGGGTTCCTAAACCACTTAGGTAGTTTTTAAAGTATTTTAGTTTCCATGTTTAATCATTTTTTCCTATTAACTATCAGTGTTCAAATAAAATAATTATTATCTTATGTAATTATAGAATTACCAGACTCCTGATGGTGATGCTGCAGGTAAAGAGGTTCCAATTTAAAAGCACCTATTAAATCCGATCTTTTTTTCACCCTGTATAAAAAAAAAAAAAAAAGGAAACAAGTTGAGAAATTTAAGCAATACAGATTTAAGGGATTAAATTTCCCCAAGAAGTGCAGGAGAGTTAAATGCATTTAAACAGGAAATTCAAGGCCATCACGGGCACGTTTCCTGGGCACAGCCTGTTCCGTTTTCACAGGGTGCTGCGTTTTCACCGTGGTCCTAGTGCAGCCCCTACACGTAGGAAGCTCAGTGCTCAGCAGCAATGTGACTGTATGCTTAACACCAGACAAGCAGTAGGCACCAGAGGCCTTTTATAGTGACAGACACACCAGGACATATGAGCAGCTAGAGCAACACCAGAGCCTGCAGTGAAGGGAATTTGTTTTGCAAATACTGCAGTAGAAAGCGGGTGGGAAGAGCTGTGGCTTTTAAAGACACTGTACGTAGCCGTGGGGAGGTTTTATGGGTGCTGCCTTGTCCTGGCTCTGCACTGTGGCTGGTGGCAGCAGCAGCCAGTGGTCGACACCAGCCATCCTGTCCCAAGGCCGGTTTCCTTCCTGCATCTTCCCTCCTTCCCTTTCTGGCTTGACTGTGTTGAGAGACAAACCACAGCATGACATAATGTTGAGAGGTGCCTCTTACTACTGCACTCGGTTTCCAAAGCCAGCGTGCCCTTTACAGAGAGAATAAGCTAGATTTTGCCAGCAAACACCAACAAGATTTTGATGGTATATTCGTCACTTTATCTGTAAGAATGACACGCCTCTACAAATCATGTCTTCTATATATGCTGAACAAGAAGAAATTGGATATCAAAAAGTTAAAGACAGCTACATCATTATACTATGCCTGTACATATATATATATTTCACAAATGAATAACTTTGTCAATATGGGGACATTACTGTAAATGACCAAAATCCCAATCTTCTCTGTTTTACTGCATATCCTTTTATAATGCATTTTACTATAGAATTCTAAATAAAAATTTCCGGTATTTTAGTCTGTCTGAATAAATGCATATACCAGTATATAACCCCACATTCTTCCACTTCTAAACTACACACATTAAACATCTCATTCAAACAAACAAAAAGCTCTCCTCCCATTTTAATATTAAGGAGAGTACCAAAATTCACACAGTACTTGCCTGCAAGTACCTAACTGCTTAAGTACCTAAATGCATAAGTAAGTTTACACATATGAAAAGTAGTAATGATCTTCACAATATTCACAGTGAAAAAAAATATAGTATTTAATGGTAGAAGTTTTTTACTGTCAGGAGGAAGAAATTATTACCCAACAACAGCTTTAAATAAGGTCTGTATTATGAATAAACCTGAACTTGTTCCATTTATGTACCGAGCTGCTCTTTTACTTGATATATTTATTACTTTGACATACTCAGCTGATTTGTTTATGGGGTGAGCTACTGAAACACAAGTTTTAGTGTCATTACACTGAAATAATCATTCGTTGTACTGTGCAATATCATAGTTGTACTGTGAGTTTTATTCCCTCTATAATATGGTGTACTAAACAACATAACAGATAACTGTTCTGCTGAGACATTGGTTATGTTGTTGGCAAATTTTATAGAAGACATAAAAGTGCTGTCATCCTGCACTTTCCATGAAGTATGAGTTGATGCATTGGTTGCTGTTAAAATGACATTAGTAATCACTGTGATGTTATTATTATTTTAATGGCATTTGTTCCATCTGGGGACTTCACAGGTTTTAATCTAGTAACCATGAGTAACTATCTATAAAGATTACTAAAGTAAATCTAAAATCTGGACAGAAATGCATATGAACCAGTTGCATTGCACATCTATATGCCAGATCTGTATTTGATCCCATGTTTGTAAACTTCTTTGCAGTAAGTGCTTACGTAGTCCAGCAATGAACAGAAAAGATGTTAAGTTTCTTTGCAAATAAACAGGATTTCACTGAAGGATCTTCAATAAGTATTTCAAAAATTTCATTGATAAACCAGAATTCCTTAAAGACTTAATGCTGCACTAATGGTCCTATTAAGATTTAGCATCACTAACTTAGCTTTGCAAGTTAAATATTCATAATATGAAGTGCCCTATAGAAGTTCTAGTAAATAAAGCACTGAAAACTCGTGAAAGAGACTGCTTATTTGGATTGCACATCTTTAGGTTTTAACAGCATCACTCTATTCTGCCCATTTTAGCTGACAAAAACAATACGCAAAGTGAGGACTCTGTATTTTAGGTCAACAGTAAAATCTCCCTTCTACCTGCAGCAGAGCATTCCTTAAAATATGTAGTAAACCTCTTCTTTTAAAACACCAAAACAAAACTCTTCCCAACCAAAAGTTAAACTCTTAAAAGACCAACAGAAAAGCAATGATACTAAGATTTTGCAAGATTATTATTTTCACTCTCTCTAGAAAAACTTTTTGCTCTTTTATAATAAGAAGTCAAACAACTGGGCAAAACCGACTTGAAGTTTTAAGACAGTCTCTAAAGGACCCCAACATTTTAATATGGAAATATGTCTCAGGTGACTATATTAAACCTTTTTTTTTTTTTTTGAAGATGATCACTCTTTTCTGTGCATTAGGAAGTCTGAGGATATTTTGCAGAAGGTTTAAAATGAAATTGCCTCCAAGTCCCAAATGACATCAGTGTGAGACATTGCACTAAGTAGTTATATAATTACATTTATAGATCTAATGGCTGGATTATCTTAATCAGCTTGCAAAGGAAAGAAATGGGAGTGTTTAAACACTGGAGAAAGCGCCGAGGAGGCTGGGTGATTCAGAAGCTTGTCCTTCTTTGGAGCTCAACGCAATTTTGCAGTGGTACAGACTATTGTTTGAGCACTTTCTTGGTAGTACAAAGTTATGCTTGATACTTCACAGGGATCCTCTGGAGACTACGCATTATTCTCATTTGCTTTTTCTCAAAAGGCCCCTTCATACTTTATTATTACATTTCTACTGAATTTTGCCTTTTCATGTAGTGGATTACAGTGAATAATAGGTGTATTTTGGACTTGGGCCTTGAGAGTAGTAAGATTTCTTTTGGCAACAGATGTGGATTCAAGCCAAAGAGCTTAACTTTAAATGTATATCTAATTCCTTATTAAGTGAATTAAACCTATACATAAATGCCGTACTGAAATGAAATTTTAACAGCTGCAGTTGTGATGCTTTAGCTTTGAGGAAGAGATTTTTTGCAAGACCTCTTGAGATTCCCTGTAATGGAATCTTTGTACTTATGAAAACATATTCTTTTATGAGATGTTTTACCTAATGGAATCAAAAACTCTCTGTTTAATACTTGAGCTCATTTTTATTCTCATTCATTTCTCATTTTATAAGAAAAGCTTGGGCTTTTCTCCCTTCCACCTTAAGAACCTTTGAACCCTCTAACAGCTTTCTTTGAAATTAATCGTAAAGTCTACACTCTGCTAGAAGGAAGCTGAATTCTCCTGGGATCGAAGCGAAACCAGATGGACAGTAATATTTTATATATCTTGTTCTCTGTGTAAGTCATACTAAAATATTAAATAGGGGAAAGCAGGATTAATGAGAAGTTAAATTTGTAGGGACAAGACTCGGCCTCCTAGTTGTGCTACAGACTTTAAAAAGGATGACAGAGAATTTTCTCATTTCTGAAAGTGGCTACTTTGATATTAATCTCTTTGAAAGATGAGAAAATGATGGTAAAAACTAGTAAAGAAATTTCATCTTTTCCCAATTCCCACAGACAGGGAGAGATGATGAGTCTTGAAGTACTTACAAATTAGGGCCCTGGGTTAATCACTGCCACTCCTGATCAATCGGAATCAAAATGTTTTATTATCGTTTATTCTGATTAAAAAAAATGTCATTTTGTCCTGGAGAATTTAAAGTGCTTATATTTCTGTATATTCAGAAATGTATTTTCCGAATAATATACACATCTTTGCAAAAGTCATCGTTGATTACTAAAGGAGGTAAACGTTAACCTAAAGCAACTGAGCAATCATAGTTTCACGTTCAGCTTTATCCTTTTCTTTTCCTCCTTTTATTTGTTTTGTTTGTAATAAATAAAGTGAATTCGCTTGTTGGATTATTTTTAAGGGTGGTTTTTTTCCCTGACTTTCAGTTTTTGACCATTTTGCTTTTCCAGAAAAATTCTTTAATAAAACTGAAATTGCTGCTTTCCTTTATTTGGATAAATAGTCTGCCTTTTCTGAGAAGTTGTTTTACTGGTAATCATAATTAACTGTGACTCTGATAACATGCTAAATTCAGGAAATTTCAGTGTGGGACCTAATAGCATCACTGTTAATGCTGTTCTCTTTGTGATGATAATTTGCTTTGTTTCAAAGTACATCTACTCCTCTCTGCTTTGCCATCTTTCTGTATCATAATATAGTCTCTTCCACCCTCTGGTGACACTGAAAAATCAGTACAAAATAGTATAAATGGTCATTTTTGAACTTAATTGCTTTTTATCAGCCAAATCCCAGACGTTTTTGGAAAGACTTTTGAAAGGATCAGGACTCAAACTGAGAGAAATTTTATGAAAGAGAAGAACAAGCTCCATTTAGTATGCTGTTCATTGCAGCATCCCTTTCAATGGAGTTTTTATTCTTTTTATTTTTTAATCAATCCCAAAATGGAGTAGATAATCCCTAGGCTTTTCAGGCTTTCCCTCTGGAAAAAATGTGGATCAAAAGTATATTTCTTTTTTATTTTTAACTTGTATTAAATGAAAGAGTGAATGCGGTACAGTACAATAGTTAAAGATATCCTGAACTCCTAATTTCCTTTAAGCAATACCTACCATTAGAAAAACAAACTATTTTACTATGAGATTTTTTTCTTTTCTGTAATGTTTCCTTTTTTTCTGTAATACTTACCACATTGCAGAGCAGTCAAAATTCACTAGAAGCCATTTGTGAGGATTAAAGTTAAATGAATCTGCAAACTGAAAATGAATAAATAAATAGAAAAAAAAAAGGAATTATGAAAAAGAAAAGAATTCATGTGCTTATGATATAATCTAGTCAAATTGTCAATTGTCAAATTGTCAGAGTACATGCAATATGAATATGTTTCTCTAATGTGGCTTTATAACGTTCACACTGATGTAACCTTATTTAATATCTGCTGTAGTTAAATCTTGATTTGATATTGGGGATATTGGTGTGCAGATAAGCTTCTGGCATTATCTAAATTTTTGGTATTAACCAAGAATTACAGCTTTACAAAGTTTACATGTGGAGACAAATGATACATTTAGTTATCAATCTGTGTACACATTCATCCATGAAATTACAACTAGCCATTAAATGACTTTTTTTTTTTTAACCACTAAGGTATTTTCCTCTCATAGAATAGTCTTTTTATTGTAGTCCAATATAAATTAATTTTTAGACAAGTCCAGCACAGAATAAGCATTCACAATACATGGTTATGTATTAAATAATAACAGCCTTACTTGACATTTATGTAGGCATGACATGAGAAGAAACCAGGGTAAATGAGAAGGAAATTGTGTGGGAAGGACTTCTCTAAGGCAAAGCGCACTAGCAATACAAAAGGAAGACTCTGGAAACACCACTTAGCACTTTTCACATTTGTTTCTCATCAGCTTCCCCATCACTTGAAAAAAATTACAACTGCTCACATAAGAAGAGATATTTATCCAAAAATGTATCCATCTATCTACCCATCTACACCCATCTATTTCCAGAGTAGGGAACCTACTCTTGGTTGTTAAATATTGACATAAATGACATATGCAAGCCCAGACAAGGGATGCTCTTTCATTTCCCTCAGTAACCAATAATAATAATTAAAAAAAAAATATTCCCATACAGGAAATTACAGCAAGCTTAATTTGCTGATAAAAAATAAGACAGAAAGAAACACTTTATTTGGTGGGGGTGGAGGGGTTTCCTGCTCTTCTTTATTAGTCTCTACATATCAGTGCTGTGTTTAAACTTCTGGCTTTACCAAACAGTAATATTTTCACCATTGACGGGGCAGACAAGGACTTATCTGCCTGTCTGAGGGGAACAGCAGGAAATTGAAGTATTCTTATCTAAGGAACTGAATGCCAAGCAGCTCGGGGAGGAGGGAGAAAAAAAGGAACAGGAGTGCTGTTGGGGGAATATTTCATTTAGCTCTCTCTTGGTCATTAAGCCCTATCTGCTGGAGGCACAGCTACTGCTGGCTGTACCCTGTACGTCTCTCAGGATGTATGGAAGCCCTCAGGCATAATAAGGTCATTAATTGGTTGAACTTTGGTGGAAATGGGCAGGCAAGGTAGAACTGGGGTGCTAGAAATGCACTTTTTGGACAATTTGGCAGTTTGAATGACAGATTCTTACATATAGTGGTAACTTGCATACTGCCAGAATGAACTGGTGAAAAAAAAACAAATGCTGATAATGCTAACAGGAGATGTAGATATTTTGTAGAGAAGTGCAGCATGCTCAGGGATTTTAGAAAAGCATATGCCTAAGAAGCAAAAAAAACCCTTGCTATGCAAGAACAAGGCTTTCTCAGGTTGTTAGAGAAACAATATTTCACTCACCTCCACTCCATTTAAAAGATGCCTGAATTCAGGGCAGATGAATGCACTCCCAGCATAGGCTGCATCAATATGCATCCAGATATTTTCTCTATTACCTTAATGAGAAAAAAAAAACCAAATAAATTAAACAGCAGATTACAAATCCTTGTTAATTTACATTAAACCAAATACCTTAGAGATTTTCTTTGATGTTATTAATTTAATTTGAAATTAGGAAAATAGAGATGAAATATTTCTACCACTTGGACTTCTGCTAATACATAAAGATGTGTGCATGCATACTTTTCTTCCTCAGTTTCACTAATGGAGTGGAATCCCTAAATATTTAGATTTATTTCATTAACTAAGATACAGTACTAAATAATTTTAAGGACTATTAGAAAATACACTTTCAAATTGTATCTAAAGATGTAATTATTCATTTCTATGTTAATAAAATGTAGCAAGAAGAGCTGGAGTTTTAGCTGTGCTTGCCACTTTCAGCTCACAAATAGTGCACAAGCATTTCTAAAACAGGTTTCCATATCTATATATACGTGCATGTATATACATATACATGCACATATATATAATACATATTTATGCATGCTTTTGAACTATATACAGCAAAATCTATTTTGAGGATTGAGACACTTATCCAAGAGCAAGCACTGAAAGATTAAGAATGTGTTAGTTTTGATTACTCACTGAACGGTTTCTGCAGAAATATTTTAGCATATGGCTCTCATTTATTCTCTGTGATTTTCTAGTCACACTCTGCTACTGATCACATGCAGAAGTTCACATGGTAACACATTCCAGCTAGGAGCTAATGACTGAAGCCAAACATAGTATCGTTACCCAAGTCACCAACAACGCTGATGCACATTTTTACATAGAGGGGCACACGTATTCAGATCTGTGATTGGGCACTAAGTTTATGTGGAAATTTGTGTTCATGTGAACTATATTTATTTCTTTTTCCATAAATGTCTGGCAAACAAGAAAAGCATTCTGCAGTGTGCATAAAGGCTATTATAAGGCTTATGAGTTAGGGTATGGGCAATCTTCCTGCTGGTCCTGCACTACACAAGCAGAAAGTCAGGAGAGCAACTGACGAACCACTTAAAAGTGCTGGTGTCACTGTTTCACTAGGTCAGGTTCATGGGAATAACAGCAAAATCACTTCTACCTCCCAAGCAGAATATGAAAAAAATATTTTAGAGAGGAGAACTAGGAATCTCTGATGCTTGTGCTGAAAGGGTGAAACAGAGAAAACCTACTGAAGCAAGTCACCACCATGCAAAATCCAAGTGTTTTAGGCCCCACCTGTGTGAATAAATAAATGTCAAATCTTGACGTATTTCTGTCAAGCTTCTGCCTGCTTCGAGCTATAAATTGCCATCTCTAAATGTGCAGTTGAACATATCTCGTGTTCTTGTCACACCAGTCAACAAGTGTGCTTCTGACCAAGCTTTTGCTTGCCATGCTAGACAGCAACACAGAAATGGTTACGATGAGGCCATGACTCAGTCACTGTGTTAAGCATCCCTGCACTTGTCTTGCTTTCTTGCAAGAAGAAGGAAGTAGGCGATAGAAGGTAAAATGTTAAGGAGAATATGAATGGTTTCAGTGCATGTTTCCCTGCTGTTTATAGTCATTAGAAACAAAGAGAAACAAAACACTTGATGCAGAGAACTAGAGTTCAGCCATTCCCTGATCTTTCCCATTGCTCCAGATCCTCTTGTAAGTAAAACAACTTGAAGTGTTACAAATGGAAGCACTTACAATACATTGGGTTTTTTTTTTTTTTTTTTTCCCTCACTGGAAGTAGAAAAATATCCTTGTACCTGAAGGTTTCGTTTATATAAGTAGCTTTGTTGAACTTGAACAGTGACACTGCACAGTGCTGGGGAAGTGACTCCCTATGGCTTCAACTGATATCTGCAATTTTAGAAAGCAGCAGCAGACAAAGACTTACAAAGAGGACCCAGTTCTAACAGTTTGTCAAAGGAGCAGCACGGGGTGGTTCCAAGTGTTGCACAAAACTGCAAAGGCAAAAAACCAAAAGCAAAAACATTAACAAAACAGGTCATACAGCAAAGAAAATTATCAAGTGAACGAAACTGTCCACAAGGACAGCAACAAACAGGAATACAGATGACTTAGGACAAAATTTACTGATTTTAGCCAATATCTACCCTTCAGTGGAACATTTGAGAATCTACTTTTTTTCCCAAGGCTCCCATAAGCTTACATGGAGATGAACATATAAAAATACGTTATTATTATAAAACTGATATTATAGTCACATCTATTAGCGTCATATTTTGCCTATATTCTATGTGTCTCACATGCTTCTCATGTAAATCAATACTAATCTCACACATGCAGTTATCATCAAACTCATTTGCAATTTATGCTCATACAGGCAAACTTAGAACATGGGCAGCTGTGAAGACACTGAGATTCCTGTTGACAGTTGCCCATTAAATGTTAGAGCTTGAATTAAAGAGCTGAGGCTCTGACCTCAAGAGACTTGTAGCTGATTTATGCTGAGAAGACCTGCAGGCTGCAACCTGTTTGTTCACTGTTAGGCACATTTCCAAGTAAGTTTTTCCCTCTCAGCTTCATCCTAAAATTCTGAAACTGTGCTACCCTTACGCTGTTCATTTCTTATAAGAGACATCCTGCTGTATGACCACAGTGGGCCAAAAGCAGAGTCAACATAAATGCTGGGAGAAGTTTCATGGTCATAAGAGAACGTAACTAGGTGAGAGTGAGTTCTGAAAATGTATTGAGAAGAAGCAGATAGAATTTAATCCAGAAAACAACTATCAAGTGCAAACAAATGGACATTATTTTGTATTTTGTTAGTCATGTCTTAAACATCTAGGATCATTCTTGAAAATAGCAATAAAACCTGGGACAGATTTGTGCCTTATACTGAATTTATATATAATAAAAGACACTTTACAGTTTAAACAGAAAAAGTATACTTTTTTTTTAACTAGGATATTGAAGTATTAAGGCATTAAGTCATTTCTACCCGGTGACACGCAATGCCATACCACAGCCAGGAGATGCCTACAAATATTTCAAATGCACAATGTTTTTTATTTTTGTACTTGTGGTTACCTTTTAAGAAAAGCAAGGAATTCCTTGATAGTACCTGTCCATCTACTATACCTTTCAAAACACACACATTCTTTCAAAACAACAAGTTTTCTGTGATGAAGAAAATAAACAATGGTGCTAGTATCAACTTGTCTAATAAATAACCCATTGCTATAGGTAAACTCTGTCTCTCTTAAGTATTCTTGTACCCTTTCAAATGCATCTGCATGTACAAGATATTGTGCAATATATCTCAGAGGTATTTTAAAGTCTGTTCCCATGGAGAGCTGAGTATTTCTGCTTAATAGGAAGTATTTGGACAGTGCTCAATTCATTGGATATTGGACTGTTAGAGGAAGTAACATCCCAGCTTTGTGTAGGGAAGGACTGATTAAATGTAGTCATACAAAATCTGGAAAGCATTTTAGTTCCAACGCTGCCCATATTCCCCCAGATCGATCACTGCACCAAAATTAATAACTACAATATGTAATAACTAAATGTTTCATTGCATCAATAAAAAAAAGTAACAGGAAAAGGGATTATTAAAATAAGAAAGCGCCAATTCATATTTTTTTTTCCATATCAAGTAATTAAGAATGTCACCTGGAAATAAATGCAGTTCTGAAAATCAGAAGCATAATGAACACAGAGATAATAAAAATTCACCTACGCTTGGCCCTCCCATATTCCTCAGACAAATGAAAAGGGCAGAATGTTAACAGTGCTTGAGGTAGGTTTATGACCACTCCGGAAGCTTATTCATAATTTAGTTGATTTAAAAATAATTTAAAACATTAAAAATATTTTTAAATGCAGGATGTATTTTTACTGAGGAATAGGTTTGTATTTTTACTAGCAGAGCATGCATATAGGAAGCAATTAATAATACATTTGTTGCACTGCTGCCTCCCTGAAATGCTCCTACAATCAGGAAAAACCTACATTTCATCTTTAGTTGAACTACTGATCTAGAAATAGGAGCACAAAAGAACAGAGGAGACCATGATGAAAATAAATCTAATTTTTCTGTATATATATAGAAGAATGATGGTTCACCCATTGCATTGGAAAATATTGAAGTGTGTTCCAAAGTCTTAGCTCTGCATGCATACATTTTATCATAACAAATGCTGGACTTTCTAGCGATACTAGAGCACAGTTCCCTTGGCCATTCCATCGATTTAAAAGAAAAAAAAAAAAAAAAAAAAAAAAAAAAAAAGAGATTACTGCACAATTTCACAACAGAAATGACAAATTATTGACATTAATGCCATACAGCATTCTCTTAATCAATGTAAGGAATAGCTTGTTTTGAGAAGGGATTACGAGAGTTCAAACACAGTTAAATCAATGGCTTGTTCTGTAAATTACACCTCAACCTCTAAAATAATTTTGTTGTCCCCTCTGCAGGTGTCTAAGCCTCAAAGCCGCTTGTGCTAATTCCCAGAAACCCCTTGAAGCGACGGCACCTGCTCCTGCCGGGGCTGTCCTTAGCCCGCCTCGGAGCTAACTCAATTTGCAGCGCGCACAGTGGCCGCGTAATCACATTGGTGCAAGGGGCCGGCGATGGGCCTGGGGGCTCAACAGAGCACCAAGGAGAGGTCGAGATTCTCAGACGTTTCCAATGGAAAACCTCCTACCACCTTTTTTTTTTCTATTAAAAAAATAAAGTGGTAAAAAAAGTGTAAAAGTTAAAAAAAAAAAAAAAAGAAGTGGTCCTTTTTTCTTTTTTTCCAGAAAAATAAGATGAAAAGATGTGGACGCATTTTGTACAGTTTTGCCATAAGGTATTTCATGTGTAATTAATTAAAATGAGACTGTGTTTAATGCTGTCTCATTATTTTCCCTTACTCAGTTGCTTGCCAGCTTACGCTCATCAGGGTGACTGTGGCTTTAAAAAATGGCAATAGCCTACTAAATCACCACCCACTATCTTAGGAAACCGTAATAATTCACAAACCGTGGGGCAAGAAACACCGCCCTTGAGGTCTGTGTATGTCTCAGAGGCTGCTTCTTCCAAACAGGAATCTGTGGTCAGGATCTTAGTGTTAACTCCTACTGAAATGATGGCTCCTGTGTCGGTCTGATGCAGATTTATTGCTTCCCGTGCGAGCCTAGATACAAACAGGCTGTTTCTTCATATCCTGTAGCTCATCACTCAGAAGAGCCATTCCAGCTCCAGTCAGGGGGGTTTCACGCTGGGTCTTTGTTCGGCAGAAAAGGGATCATGTTACCACAGCATTGTAGTGCATGAAGCCGTTGAAGGATATGGCACCATATATGTGCCAGCTGCTGCGGTGGATCAGGGCTGATACATGGAAGACCCTGTAAAGCCTGCAGGGCACTTAAACACGTTAAAGCGAGCTATGCTTCAATGTAGTGGACCCTACCTCTGAGTTTAGAAGAGCATAACGCAGTGGTCGCTGTATTTAGGTATCCTGGTCAACATTGACATGATGCAGAGGTCTCGATCAAGCTGAGAACCAGGGGCCTATGTGCTTAAGCATGTGCTTAACCTCAAGCAAGTGTTTATAATTAATGAAATGAACACGACTGCAACATGTGCTTTAAAGCTCTGCTGAATGAGGGGCCACGTGAAGAGCTGGATATGGGCCCCACTTGGAAATTACTACTACTGTGTATATTGTGACAGCTCTGGTTCCTCCTCATGCGGTGCGGCCCAGTGCAAAGTTTGCACACTATGTCCTGCTTCACTATATCAAACTAAGCCCGTGCTGCAATTTCTGCAAAAGAATCTTGCAAGAAAAAAATTAACCCAAATCTGAATTTGGAAATAAAGAAAAGAAATGAGAGTAGAGGCCTAGCTACATCGCTTCAATTTGGCAACAGCTTTTACTGAGAGAAGTGATAAGTTAATAGCATTATAAGATATTGATGGTGGACAGGAATTCAAAGATGCTCTTTCTAAAAACAATGCCCTCTCCAGCCCCCCAGCTAAAAAGACTGTTTACCAAACTTCATTTATATGAAAAGCAAGTCTGTAATTACCAGATTGCTCTAATGAGAAATCCTGTTTCACATCAAGCCCAGCAAGGAACCCTTCCCCGACTCTCCACTTGCCTCTGAAAGAAACGCATTTCTATCAACCTAAGTATGATGATTCCCAATTTACTTAATATGAGCAGAAAATCAGGCATATAAAGCATCATACTTTGCTTGTATCTTGATCTTCTTTTTCATCCTCTACAAAATCATTTTTCTGATAAGAGAGACAGCCTCAGCTTGGAGGCAGCCAAGATCTCTTTATTAGCAAGGTTCTCTCTGCATTCACCAGCCTCTCCAGGCAGAATTTCTTCTGTTAAACTTTTTGCTTTGATGTTGAATCTCCCCTGTTAGCAAAGTAACAGCGAATGCAGGGAGCAGGGAATAAAGTGGAGTAAGGTGTTTCCTTAGCAATGTGCATATCTTTGTCAGGAGACCAAAATAAAACAGCTCCAAATTACTCAAGAACAAAAGAAATGGAAAGGCTTTTGAAATCCGCAAGCCAGAGAAGGGAGCCCTAATACAGTGCATGAACTGCTGCTCAGCATGACAGAGAATTAACACACCTTTTGAATTAAGAGGCCAGCCATAAGGATAATGAGATCTATTTTAATCTAAGCTGACATGTTTCATGTATACAAATAAATGGAAGACCTGGCACAGGCCATATTAACTCAGACTGAGCCTGTGCTGCCTTTGAAAGACTGTTTTGTACAGCTAGGCAAACACAGGAGGGAAAACAACAGTTAAATCACCCTTTTTTGCTGAATGCATAAAGTGAATATTTGATTTCCCCTTGCTACACAAGTAAAATTAACAAGAAATGAATATTTATGAGGGACAACTTGCATTTTTTGTTAATGGGTATCAGATGAGCAACAAACCACATTATCTTTGTTGTTAGTACATGGAGAGGGCCGTACTCGGTATGTTGTTAAGAAGAAAAACAAAACAAAGAAACACAAATCAAAGAAAAACTCAGAAAACAGAATGGTTTAAAACAAATAGTAAGATAATTAAGTTGGACCTGATACAAAATATTATGAGCTGGTATAATGCAGCAGAAATGACATATGGATTGTGGTACATATGCACTTCCCCAGACACAGCCAGGACAATTAAGTTCATTTATGCAGCCCTAAATGGGCATTTAGGATGCGCTGTCCCTTGGTCACAGCCTTACTGTGTTGGAAAGGACTGAGCACCGTGGTGTGCTCAGTCATCCCAGAGACTCACTTGTTCCAGACAGGCTAGAAAATGGCAGCAAACCACAGCTAAGAAATGTGTTCCTCACCCCAGCCATCCTCCTACTATCTAAAACCAGACATTAAAGATTATTAACAAGAAGAAGAATTTTTTTTTTAAAGGCCTCATGTAATTTAAGCTTCTTTGTCTCATTTGGCATTTACTCATGACTATAAACAACCTTAATCTGCTAAATATTCTGAAGTGTTCACAGAAACTCATTGGCTCTTTTGAATATGTTACCACATGAAAGAAAAGAAACTACTACTGAGTCAGATATGACTTTTATGAGGAGGGAAAAAAAGAATATATTTTATAGCACTGCTATTTAGATATAGAAATTGTTAAGAGTAAAAAATATTGTATTATAAATAGCAGTTTGTAAAGTTGCTAAATGCCAATTTAATATGTTATTGCTAACATATTATACCTGTATATAAATCTATACCTATTATGGTCTATGTGAAGTATTGCAGAAGTACAATGCTTAGAAACGAGCAGAGCATTTTACTCATGATGTACAAGCACACAGAGTTTACTTGCTCCGTGAAAAAAACAAGTGGTAGTCTCTTGTTTTAACTTGAAATACTAAGATGGTGCTCTGAATTGACAGGAGGAACAGATAATGATATATAAGCAAATAATTCTTTTGAATCACACATTTATTATAGTAGAGCCAAACTTCTCAATTTTATCCAGTCCAAGACTGTTCTGTGTCAAAACCTGGGGACTATGAGCTCTAGCTACTGAGATGGAGACCAGATGGCTTCTGCTGCACTGCTGTAGCCTCTGGAAAGGAAAGTAGGTAACAAAAACTGATGGCACCTGGAACTGCCACAAACACATCAGCTATAGCTCATCTGTTAAAAATAAGTCACATACAAATACCTTTTGACAAAGTATGATCTTGCCAGTATTTGGGGTAAATTGTGAAGCTTCATTTCTTTGCGAAACCAGGGAGAAAGGGAGACCTTTGCTTGTTGAATGATGGCACCAATTAGTATACTGTTTGAAAATTTGTTTGAGGTGTAGATTAGAACTTAAAGAACAGAGGTACAGCCTTATGACAGAGGCAGTTAGAATTCAAGAATTAAGAGACTGTAACATAGCAGGATTAAATGTAACTACAAATTCACTCACATCTATTTGGCTGTCTAATCTAACCTGAACTCCTTTTAAAATATCATTTTTCTTAGAAGTGCTACCAATTGCTCAAATGAGTTTCTCCTGCTGCAAAGAACTGCCTCCTACACTTCGAGAATTCCTCAAATTATTTTCCTGCATGCATAAATACCTAAAATGACTCCAGCAAAGCTCATGTGAGTGAAGAACATTCACAGAACCCATCCTGATATCCTAGTTAGCCTGCCCATTAATTCCTGTTAGGGATGAGAGCATCTACTCATCTCAGAAACAGCCTATCTAAAGCAACATATCCACTGACAAATTAAAACCCAGTACTTACAAAGAATGGGATAAGACCAGCAGCTTTGTCTTCCTCCAAAACTTTCTTTAGAGCTGAACCACAAACAGTAAATCTTTCATCCGAAGGAACACTTTTTATCTTCACACCACTGATTAATGCAGCCCTTTCCACAGACGAATGGGCCTGCAAGGAAGCGGATAAGTTTTAAGGCAGCCACCTACTACTGGTATGTAAAACATTCATTTGAATTTGAAAAAAAAAAGAATAAAAGAATAATTTAATTCAAATAAAGCAACATCTGAGATCCTGAGGCTGTTGGTGGTAACAAACATTGTAAGACTTGCTCTGTCCCTTTCTCTCATACTCATTCACCCTCACATCCCCACCCCCAATAGTAACTCTGAAGTATTTCTGAAACCATTGCTAAGGTCTCATTCAGACAAGAGTCCAATTAACCTTAATGAGAGCTTTAACTAACATGCTCTCAGAATTAGGTTGGATTGATAAAGAGCTTCAGGATTTAGCTCCAAATCAACCAAAAGACAGTCAGCCTGCTTCATAATGATCTAGTTTCTCAAGAGAGTATTTTCACAGTGTGCAGGTTTGCTGAACTATAAAAAAAGTGTATGTTATAATATAGTTTAGATTGAAATATTTTCTTGTATTATTATTTTGTTTTAGATTACTTGCTGAATAAATCACAGTCTCAGTGAATGCAGTCTCAGTGAATGATTCCACTTACAAACTCTTTGATTTGGATACCTCTCAGATAGTTTTTTAAAACACAAAGCATATTTCTTTACAGAAGAATAAAAATATTACTGTGGAATTCCTTAATCCTTAACACATCTCTTCTCTAAAGAGTATGAAAAATTGTATTTCTGTTAATAATAAAAGGCCAATTTAGCCACAAAATAACTCTTTTTTACAGCATGACTAAAAAAAAAAGAAAAAAACTATTTTACTTTCCATCTTACAAGATTTCTTTAATTACAATTAATCTCAGAGAACAAAATTCCCCACCTATTCATATCCTTTCTGTTCTCATTTCTAATCTTCATGCCATCCTAGTTGGTTCTTGCTAGGGCCTACAGCAGCACTTCCTAATTATGTTATAATTTAACATAAATCATTGAAAAGATTAATCTAAACTAGAGATTCAGCAAAAGAGATGACGTTCTTGCCTTTCAACTTCATATATCCCTGAAATTATTCCTTTTAAAAGTAGAATTACTATTAAATTTTATATCTCAATTGTGCCTTTTGTCAAAGTGCCATGGTAAACTAATGAGGCACCAACTTGAGAAAACTTGGAAGTCAAGTTGTGAAATAGAACTGGCTTTTGAAATGGAACACAATACATTTACCACCACAATATCATGCTTTATTTAAGTGTAAAATGGGAAGAGATTATTTTTATAAGCAATTTACACAGGGAAGGGATTGTAAATGAGCAAACTCACAAACTAGCAAAAAATGAATAAGGCTGCTTTATAACATTTCATACTGCCATTCATACTCTTAGGGTTAAAACCACAAATATGCTCTTGCATTACAACAAATCTTTAGTGTCGTGTTGTCTTGTGGAATTCCTAGTCCTCAGCAACGTGCCCAAGAATATCCTGCTGTCCTAAGAGAGAGCAAGGTACTAAAGAGAAATCTGCAATATCACTGGGCACTTACTTAAGCCAGCTGAAGGAAAAGGCAAAGAAGTTTTGATGAAGTGAATGACCTGAGTAAATTTCAGAATACCAAACAACCACCCCAAATTCTGTCCTTGTTCCACACGGTCAGGTCTCTCCTGAATGTCCCTCACAGCTCCGGGGTGCAGTGTCCTGCACAAGAAGAGCCTCAGCCAGGATAAGTCAGCCACTGAAGAGGGTCAGGGATCCTTTTCAGCTGTCTCCAAACCCACAGGTAGTCATTGGGAAAAGCCTCATTCCCAATTCTGCTCTGCGCTCATCTATACAATGAACAGTATCAGTGGGATAAAGATTCTCTTGAAATGTCTCAAAGTTACGGTGGTCTCCCAGGATATCAGAGGCCTAGCTTCAGCTCTTTGCTTCAGATATCCCTACTACCCAAGTTTTTGCGTGCCTCCTAATCCCTTCTTGCACTGTTTTGCTCTGCCAGTGCATGATTTTCTCTCCGAAAGGAGGGCTTAGGCTTTCTTTCTTTCATGGATTACTGTATATGAGTCACACAGGTCCGTTCTTAACGCAGGCGCACCGGTGAGCTCAGCAACAATCTTCCCTGAAAGGTCAGCAATATCTTAAGGCGAATCCTTCTGTAAACAGCAAAGCCTCTGACCTTCAGTGCGCATGAGAGCCTGTCAGTCCTCATTTCAGGTCAGCCACTTACAGGGGGAAAATGGGAAAACAAATAACAGGGCTATGTGCATCACTGGGTCAGAGTTAGAGCCCTGGGATCAGCGATCTGCGCAAAAAAAGGGATACACATTTTTGGTGTCTTTCGAAAGCAGTAACCTCTCCTGATACTTTATTATTGTGACTGACTCATTCTCACCCTACAAGCATAGTCCCCTTTCCTACTAGCAAAGAGCAAGAGTACTTTTTAAATTGCTGTCCTCCTTAACGTACACTTAGTTTAGTAAATCAAGGCAAACCTGAAACCTGCCTGGTTCACCCTGCAAAATTAGACTTTACTTCAAACTGAACGGCACTACTAAGAAAGTTCCTTCAATCATTGACATTTAGATAAGAAAATGTCACAGCTATTGAGAAAAGCAGCGTTGCTTGGCCCTTCAGTAGGATTAGAGTTTTAGACATGTAGGAGCAGCAGAACCTACAAGACTAAAATTTGCTCTCATTAGCAGTAAAAGCCTCTCATGGTCTCAGCCTGCTGAGAATTCAGCCCAGTTCAGTCTGCTAAATACCACTCACAGTCAGAAATCAAGGATTATGTTTGCTTAGAAGATTTCTCAGCTACAGTGACACATGCATATTTTAGGACCCTTTTAAAAAGAATGTTTTCAATTTTGTCAAGTATTATGACCAGTTTGCTTTGTACTCAGGCAGTAGGTTTGTGTGTGCATACACTTGCATACATGCAAGCATACAAGGGGTGGATATATTTATGTATATTTATGTATATTTATGTATATTTATGTGTGCGTATGTGTGTATAGGGGAAAATTATGTGTGCACATATGGAGACACATGCCCAGGTCTGACAATAGATGATCTAGATTCATTAAACAGTTGAAAGAATCACCTGAACTCAAGTATATATAGCTCAAATGGACTTCTTTGCAGAGAAGAAGCAAAATACTTATGCGACACTGACCTCTGGAAATTTATTCTTTGTTTTACAGCAGCACACATGAGACTCCAGTACATCAGTAATGACATATAAAAAGAATAGAAAAAAAAAAAAAAAACCTAAAAAAGGTCTTTCTCCAAAGAGTTCATACCTGCCAATCAGGATGGCTGCAATTAATAAGTATAGAAAGTATAGACCCCATGCTTCCAGGTCTATGTTTTTGAGAGGTACTCACCTGATCCGAAGCATAGGCCACCAGCCTGCCCATGATTTCTGCTTCTGTTACCTCAGGCTTTTCTGATTGCACCCTTCTAATAGTTTTTGTTCTTGCAGCAAGCAGTGAAACCAGTGTGGCTTCACTGGCACTTCCCTGTAGGATCAATCAAAGGAAGGTTCAACAGGAGGTTCCAGAAGAAAACAGTTGTTCTTATTTCTCTTACTCTAAGCCTCCACTCGTTGTCGAGACAATTTCATGCACTCATTCTGGCTGCTGCTGAGCACATTATTATTAATGTGTTAAATTTCTAAAATAAAGTAATTGCTTAGGGTCTGCCAGTCTTCAGTGTAGAGAGGAAACCATATCCACAAAGCAGTAAGATCATCTACATATCCTCAGCTTAGATAACCAGCTCCTCTAAAAAGTGTTTTTCTAGCTGACAAAATGTGAGATGAATCCAATCTGATGCATGTTTCATGAAAAGAAACTTCTGTCATCAGATCTTTTGTTAGCAAAGCTGTTTCTCACATGCTCAACACAGTGATATCTAAGTAATGGTGAAAAATGTTTGTATTTCAGGACAGTCTAGCAAGCTAGAATATAATTTCTATTTAGTGTCCAGTTATTTGAAGATATCAAGCAGGTATGAAGAAAGGTTTATATCCAAGAACGTCACCTATTAGCTCAATTATAAAAATGCTGTGTCTTTCCAGTGCATATAAGGGATATGGACAAAAATATACAGCTGAAGCATATTTTAAAAATTAAGGTATTAATTTGATATTTGCAAAATTAAGTCCCCATTGCTTGCGATTGCCTGGATGATCCTGGGAAAATCACAGGCAAAAGAGTAGGGTCAATCTATGAGTGTCACAAAATGTCCTGGCATCCCACTGGCCTGATGCCTCGTTAGCTTAAGCAACAGCCCTTGTATGAGTCTCCTTGTGTGGAAACATGGATGAATGAATGAACCTTGTCTTAAGGAGGTGGGACACAGCCTTAGGATGCCTGAACCCAGTAACTAGGAAACACATTTGGATGTCGCAGTAGAGACATGGGCTCTTTTTCACCTTGCCTCAGTTTCTGCTTGTCACCTCTTTTATACTAAAGCTGACAGTGTTCACAGAACTTGGCTCACAGGGCTATTCTCTACGCTTGGCACCAAAGTCTTGCACTGAATATTTTGGGGGTAAAAAATGCCTTGGTTCTTTGCTCAGCTTACCGACAACAAAAATCATTTAGACTTGCCAGACCTGTGATAGGTTGAGTCTTGTTTTGTGTCACCCATAAAACACTGTTTCTTTGCAAAGCAAGAAAACCCTTTTAAAATTCAAAGTAAAAGCATCTTTTTCAGCAGTTTATCTGGAATGAACAGCGGGATACCTATGTGCTATATTCAGACAAGCTTTGGAAAGCAAGTCGCTTTCTCACTCATTTGTAAAAGATATTTTTTCCCCCTCTCGAAAGCTGTACCCGGGATTAAGTGAAGGATGATGATACCTTTCCTTTCACCGCGGGCAAACAAAGGTTGCCATGGCAAGCGGGCTCAAGTGGCGGAAGAAATATCGGAGAGAGCTGATGCTCATGTCCACCAGAGCCCTGCACCGAAATTTCCTTTCATCTTTTGCCATTTTCAAGTGTCATCCTGTACGCAACAAAGAGCTTCATATTGACATCGACTTCCAAATGTAATTAAGAGCCAGTTTTCGAAGGCTCAGTTTTACCCAATGCTGCAATAATTACTTGGTATTTACCACGGGAATGACTGGCAGTTTCACACACTTGTGCTGTCTTTGCCTCACCCTCTCTTGTGTGTATCATTATTGTTTCAAGAACAAGATGTTCTTGAAGATCTACAGCGCAAATGGCTTCATCATAAGCAGGAGCACAGAACACGTTTCGATTCCTGAAAGTGACTGGTATCTGATGAAAATTATGGGCAATTGGTGTTGTCAGTCTCAAAGGGCAATATTTCCTGCTGATAATCATCAGGCATAATTGCTTGCTTTCACTGGGATAACATAAATGCTGCTGAGACACATGACAAGAGCTTGATTTCTTGAATAAAAAAAAAAGAAAAAAAAGCAGACTCATTGTAATGAAAATAACAGCAAGCAGGATGAGTAAGGAGTTACTCTGGATATACAATGGTGTAAGTGGAGAAAAAGTTTTCATTAGGTCATGGTAACAGTTTAAATTCATACTTGACTTCGAAAATGTGTGGCAAAATTCACTGGAACATTCTGTTTTTGAAGTTGAGATCAATGAAAGAAGCACCTACTTTTAGCATGTAACTCAAACCCATTTAGAGGTCTATTTTAGAGGAACATGTATTGTACCCTGTCCTTCAAAAAATAGACTCCATAGATTATTAAAGCAGCACAGAACAATTATTTAAGATTTAGTCTTCATCACTATAAAGATCTGTTTTAAATAGACAAATATTTGTTATTTAGATTATAATTCTATTATTAATCTATATTAATTAGATAATATTTGTCATATTAATTAGATAAATGTTTGTTCTTGCATTTGCAGAAAGACTATACACCAGTAGAGAAGCATCTAAACACACAGTATTGCTTTATTATGTATTCAAGCTTGTCCACTGACAATATATTCCTTACTGTATGAATTTTGTGCTGTTTGGAAGCTGCAAGCTTTCATTAAGCAGTCAACTTTTCAACAGCTTGGGAACTTTTTTTCTATTTTGGGTACCAGAGTTCAGTCTGCAGTTTGTATCTAAATCCTTCAGACTCTAATTTTAAGCAGCTTCATTTTATCATTATATGCCAACATTTTGTTTTGTTATAGAAGGAAGACTTCAGATTAATCCAGCTGCTTTAACAGAGATTGATAAGAGTTTCTACTATACTATTTTTTTCCTACTTATGGTAGATTCTCTGCTGTCTTTCTTACCCATTGCTTGATCTCTGACGTTTTTTATTTACTATTTTCATGAAAAAAGGAGGGTTGTTTTGGAAAATGATTTAAGCAATGCTTGATCATGTCTAAGGTGAACTTCATGGAAGCCTTTCTAATCCCTTTTCATGGTGCTTTAATGTCTTCTGTCACTGCATAAATCCTTCAGATAATTTCTTTTTGAGAAGTTACGCTCGATTTTTGGCCATGCAACATTCCTTAAGAGTGTTGATAAGCTTCTCTGTGCTCACTTTTCATTCTACTGATTTTTTAACATTATAGTTTGAATGATAAATCCAAAATTGGGCAGTAAAGTTAGCCTACTAACAAACTTTCGCAGAGGAGAGAATTTGAGAATCAAAAAATTACAGCCATAACTGGTTGTAACCACCTATGGATATTCTTATAGTATGTCAATCTAAAAATCTAAAAGGAACTCAGGTTGCAGCAAAAATATATCTTCCCTTTATTAATGTGTTAGTATGAAGCTTCTGCCAAATCTTAACTACAAATTCACCACATATTCTGTCCTGTCTTACCTGAATGACGCCTCCACCTTGTCCATCCTTCCCAGCTAAAAACTCTTCAGGCAAATTAATCATCTTCCCTAGCCAATCCAGCACGACGGTCTCCAGCTCTGTGCAAGCTGGACTTGCAGCCTGTGTTGAAAAATGAAGCAAAGCGAATGACCTTGCTAGACCAAGCAGAGGGGTAGGATCCACCAGAGGAAGGGCATTTCCCTTTCTGTCTTGGCTATGGAGATAGAGACTAGTTGAACAACTTTACCAACTAAATTAGGGATGTGAACGTCATTTTGTGCATGGTATTCTTAATATATATTAAAAAATCTCGACATAGGATCTCACATAGAACCAGGATTATCCAATGTGAAACCTAGGATTTGCGCCTTGCATATTTTTTCACATCAGCTAGCAAACACTTTTGAGAAGAGCTCATCCGAACTTGATGTGTGTTTGTTTTTCCCAATACAATTTTCCATTAATGCAGATGATAAACAAAATCATAGCACCAGGTGATAGGCAACAGTCATATTATTTAATGAGTTATCAGTAGGCCTGCACTCGCTTCTTAGGATTATTATGGGTCCAGAAATGCAGGTGCACGGGTGCTCTCACTACTAATTCTAAATGCTGGTAGCAGGCTTTTATTACTGGATATGTTCAAGGTTTCTATGTGAAAGCACTTAATTACACAAGTAAATTTGTCTGTAATAGCCTTGTGACTTCATTGCTATTAATCAATCATTTATTTTAAGAATGTTACTGGAATGTTTAAAATGTTGACAAGGTGAAGCAGCATTACCCCACAGCAGTATCTACTACCAGTAGACTTACCCATGAGAAGCCAACACATCCTATTCCACCACACAGTATATCTGCAAGAAGAGCTGGGAAAGAACTGGCTGCAGGGAAGTAGGCAAAGAAGTATGGACTGTGCCAGTGAGTCACCTGTATTAAGAGAAAAAGAGTCATTTTCAATTTCTATGGGAAACAAAGTGTCATGAAATCATGGAAGAATTTGAGACTGGTGGCATGGAATTGTCAACAGTGTTACAACACAGGTGTAACACTGGATCCCAGTTTTTAAAGGAGTCTACCTTCTAATATTTTTTCTTATTTTTTTAATGTTCCTTAGGACTAAAGAATTCAATTGAATTTATTTCTTATACCCTCCATCTCCCATCACCCCTAGAAATTCAAGTTCTCCCTTTGTCTGCCTCAAGGACAGGAATTACACAGGCAGTGTCAGTGTGTGTTTTGATGCTGGACACTGAGCTTCTGCCTCTGCTTTCCAGGACTCTCCATGTTCTTATGTTCTTTGATCTCTGTCATGAGGAGCAAAGGCATCTTAGCAAGTAGAGATCTAAACAGTTCCTCTATTAAAGCACCTTCTTACCCACATTATGGAGATATTTGTTTAAATTCAGACACTAAATTTAGCCAAGAAGCCCCCACCACAAAACGAAATAGTCCGTTAAGTATCCAATACTTTATCTATGGGAAATTACACTATTTTCTCCTACATGAAATGGTGATTTATGTACAATTTCAATTTGTATGTACCGTTATGAGAGAACATTCCAATCACTGCACAAAAACTAGTACACAACAAGAAGAATCATTTTGTGCAACCTCTAAGCAATTTTAAAGAATTTGTGAGATATTTGATAGTGCTCCACATTTTGAATCTAATAAAATCTGAAAACAGGAAATGGATTGCCATATTGCAATATTCGTTGGAAAAATAATGAGATATGATATGTTTAGTACAAAAGACATTCACATTCCAGATAAAGGCAAATACAAGAAAAATGAGCTTTGAGAAGATTAGACAGACTCAAGCAAGAATTCATCAGAATAACTATAAAATCCTTTGTCTGCAAAGCCAGACACATCTGAGTTTCTTAAACCTCGATTCTTCTTGCACTGTTTTTTTCTAAATACTGGAGTTCTGTTATAACTGGAGAACAGTAAGAGATAGCCCCAGCTCAGTGTCTTCCTTGCTGTTTTCTTCTATATTCCCATCTCAGATTAATTTTATCTTTCCCACTCCCCTCTCTCCCAGCCTGTGATAAGGTTTCTGGCTCTGGAGCTAACTCAGAGATTTCCGTACTGCACTTCTCTGCATGCTGCAGATAGCCCTTCCATTTCCTCTTCTAACTTTTTTTTCATGCCAACATCCAGCTCTTTCTTAAAGAATATGCTCATAATACAGGAAACCTTGTCCTAACTCTTGCGTACGTAACAAATCAGATGATACAGCTTTCTCCGCTGCACTATATCCTGTATAATCTTTCAGGTGCCTCATCTCTTTCAAATCAACCCCAGCCCAAGACAATTTTCCAATTTCTAAACTAGCCCTGTCCATGGTATATTCAAGATTTTACTCTTACTGGTCAGTAGGTGCAAATCTGCTCAAATATATCCAAAGGCAAACCACTGGTGACATTTTTGCCTTTTTTTCTTATATATGACCATAATTTCCCTCTTTACTGCAACAACCTCTTTTAGAGTACTTGTGGCCATGACATGATTCACCATGCTAATGTCAAAGAGTATTGTCTTGTGACGTTTCTTAGCCTTTCAGTAAATTCTTTCCTTCCTTCTTTCCTCCCCCCATTCTCTGCTTCTTCTGAGTAAGCTTGAGCTGTCTTGGGGATCAAGATGACCCAACAGTGGAAGCTTTTTGCTAAAAGACAAAGATCACTAGGCCAAAGGAGTCATCTAAATATGGAAAACCTCTACATAGACTGTTAATACTCTCTATGTTGGATATTTTTTATGTAAAATATGACTGAATCAAAATATTCCAGAACCAAACTTGAGTTCTGGAATTTGGGTTCTAGAACCGAAAACTTAAATACACACTTTTAACCCATGTAAAGATTAGCTCGTACTTTGGTAAGAAATTGGAAAAGCAACAGCTATGAACTTTAGAGATATCAGAGATGCCAAAAAAAAAGTGCATTTCTCTTTGTGTCATCTTTCATGAAACAGAAAAAAAAATAGGGTAGGACACAGCTCTTCACAGCTAGCAAAACTGAACAACCAGCAGTTACTGATAGGACCCACATGCACTGACTTTCACTGACATTTATCATCAGCCAGGGCTACCCTTGTTCACCTCCCCAGCTATAATACTCTGTGATCTGTCAGACTTGTGACATTCATCTAGGGCTAATCAAGTTAAACTGCTACTTGCTGGGAGCCATTTATTTGATGAAACACTGCAGATTCTAGTCTCACCACTCGCACAAAGCAGAAAAAGGCCAAAAGCCCCCGGGCAAGTGCAGCTGGTTCTTCCTCTCTTCTCCTGACTCCCCTTCCCCCTTTCTCTTAGCGCAGCTGTAAAACTCATTTATTTTGCCACAGTGGAGCAAACACACACATGTAAGTACCGCAAAGAGCATGACCCTAATGATGCTTGTTTGTTCAGCCCTCTGCTGATAAACAGTGATAGACAAGTGCCTTAAGTTCAATAATTCCCACTCTAACTCTTCTCAGAGCTATTTTGTTTCCCAGATTTCATCTAATGTTTCCTTTCTTTCCATGCTTTGCTTAGGCTAAAAAAAAGTCTTCTTTTATCCACAGATTGGGACAGAGTTTGCTGAAAGTTAATAGCTTAATGACAATATAAAATGGGTAATCAGGCCCTTCAGTACTGTTACTTAGAACCACAACTGAACTTGATCATTTTAGGCTCTAGAAAAGGAGCTACATTTCCTGAGAGCAAAGAATGTTTGCTAGACAAGGGTGTCTGCCACTAATGTTTTTGTATCCAGATCCCTTCCACCAAGACCCACTGCTGTGATGATCAGATTTGAGCAGTCGTTCCCTCAGGCCCTGTGCTAATACCAGGAACTTAGAACATTTTGGTCTGTATCATATGAAATCTCCATAAATAGATGTTACCCCTACAAGCTCACGAATGCTTATTTTCCTGTTAGGTAAAGACAGAAACTGCATTATCTCTTGAGATTTTATTATGTGAATTAACTGATTTTTGCTCTTCTGAATTTGTTGAAGGAAAAGCACTTTCACTTTTAAGCCATAAGTAGCAAATATCTGAACGCAGCCACCTCAGTATATAAGTCAACATGAAGGAGAAAAGAATGACTTGTGGGACTCTACCAGCTCTGGACAAAGTGTGGAGGTGTGACCATCTTCATGTCTTCTTTGAAGAAGTCCAGGTTCTGCAGTGGCAGTGATGTGCTGGACGTCGCTAGCATCGACCGAAGCACATGAGAGGCCTTGACCCACATCAAGCGCTGCACACCAAGCCTAAACCCTCAAATGTACCAAAGGACAGACAGGCAGGAAACGGAGATTTCCAAGACAGCTAAGGCTGAAGGCTTGTGACTGCTGACACAAGGAGGATGGCTCCTGCTCCACTTGTTGATCTGCAAGTGGACCTACAGACTAGATGCAGTGCTCTGGTTGCAATGAGGGGCTGAGAGCTGTGTCCCATGAAGCACCTGAACCTGTTGAACCTCAGCCATGGTGATTTCAACCATCCTGGTATGTGGTGGAGGGAAAACACAGCAAGGCACAAGCAATTCAGGAATTTAGGAGCCTGCAAGGAGGCAACTAGATACATCCTTAACCTCTGGAGAGAAGACTTTAGCTTCATCTGGGCCCTACTTGGAAGGAACCCATGGGATATTGTCCTGGAGGGAAGAAGAAGGGGTGGTTGATTTTCACGGATCACATCTTCAAAGCTGTCCATCTCCACTAGAAGAAACTCAAGCAAGAGTGGAAAGATTTCTGCATGGATGAAGAGTGAAGTCCTGGCAAAGCCCCAAAACTAGAAGGAAGCTTTAAGAGAAGGGTGGAGGGTCAGGAGCTAGGAGAGGAGGATTATAGAAACACTTTCTGAAGATGCAGGGGTAGAACCTGAAGCAGAAAGTCCATCTGAAGTAGAATCTGACAAGGCATGTGAAGAGCAACAAGAGTGTCTTCAATGAGTCTTCAATAGGGAAAATGTGAACGTCATGATTGGAGTCACAGACGTGGTGACAAAGAACATAGAAAAGGCCAAGGTTCCTAGATGTATTTTTCACCTAGGTAAGATTTGCCTTCAGGAGGCCTAGATTCCTGAGACCTGCGGGGAAGTCTGGAACAGTGAAGACTTACTCTGTATAAGGATCAGGTTAAGGAACATTTAAAGAAACTGGGCACTACATAACTCCCGATGGGACTTGCAGCCCCAAAGCATTGCAGGAGTTCGCTGATGTCAATGTGAGGCCACCTTCAAGCATCTTTCAAAGGTCATGACAATCAGGACAGGTTCTTAAGGACTGGAAAATGCAAAAGCCTCTCATGTCTTCAAGGACAAGAAGGAAGATCAGGAACTAGAAGCTATTCAGCCTCTCTTTGATCCCAGGAAAGACAATACTGTCTGGAACCCATTTCTAAACATTAAAGGGAAGAAAGTGACTGTGATAAGTCACTGCGGATTTATGAAGGGGAGAGCACTGAATAATGTTTATTTTGTTTTTGCTGATAGGGCCTGGAAAGCATCTCCTTTCCAGGAGTTTAGTTGGATAAGCTGATGATTTTACTGAGCTGAATCCAAGGTCAGCTCTATTTCTGAGAGGAGCTGCTGTGAAGAGAGCTGAAGTGAAGCTCTTCCTTTCTCCTTGAATGGATTTCAAGCTGAGGCTTTGCTACTGGCCCCTGCCTGTGCTACAGCACAGCTCTGAAGCAGATCTGTAGGCAGTCTCCTCCTTTCATGAATCTGACCTGGGCCTGGTCCCACTGGCTCAGCTTTCTGATTCGGCCTTGGATCTGCCTTGTCACAGCAGACTGACCCCTCTGCATCCTGGCTTCTTGTTGGTTAGGTCACTACTTACACCTGTCCTACTACTTCCCTCTGTTCCCAGCTCACCTTCCCACGAGCCAGACTGCCCTTGTGGCTCCCTGATGTTCAGCAAGGCTTTTGACACTGTCTCCTATAACATACTCATTGTCATGCTGTGGAATTACAGCCTAAGTAAGTGTGATGCAGGGTAAGTATTTTGAAATACAGGAAATTCCACTTAAACATAGGAAAAGTGTGGGAAGTCTGGGCAACACTGGAACAGGTTGCCCAGAAAGGCTACAGAGTCTCCATCATTACAGATACTCCACACCCAACTGCCCTCCATCCTGAGCAACCTGCTCTAACTGCTCCTGCTCTGAGCAGGTGGGTGGGACTTGACCAGTTTCCAGAGTGGTCAACAATTCTGTAATTCTGATTTCACATGAAACTTTGGTACTTAGGATAAACAAGGCATAAACAATAATTAGAGCTGCTTCAAGAACAAGGACATCTGTATGTCTTCTTTTTATGTGTTTAAAACACTACTATTTCACATCATAAAAAGTTTTGGATAGAGAATTTTTTCTTCAGAATGTACTATTTTTCAAAAGTCTACTTATTTGTAGGTCATATAAACATCTAAAATAATAACAAAAACCAATTTACCTAAGAGAGAATGTGATGTCTGATGTCTTGATGACATAATTGGAACGCAATGTTTCACTCCTAATTCTCAAGTGACTAGGCTTTATTTTTTTTTTAAATTGGCATTATTTTTATCAGATGTTATCCAAACAGTATTCTGACTGCCTCAAAGCAAAGTGGTCTGGTTTCATGTTCTATCTCACACACTAAGGGAATGGCTTAGCTTTTTTCTCCAATCAAAAAGGAAAGGTTCTCATAATTAAATATTTTTCAGGGACATGTTATGATCAGTTAGGTATGATTTTTTGGTATAAGCTGTCTTTAAAATGAACTACAGTGGACGGCACTATATGCAATATTAAACACACACTATTATATAGACACTAACAACTTCTGTATCTGGGAGCAGCAATGAAAGGATTTTCATGTGTTGACCGTGATTCTCTTATTGAATCTGCACTGATTTAATTCTGTTCAATTAAAACTTCGGAGATCTTTGAGTAGAATAGACAGATTTCCACTGACTCCAGTGGAAGATCCACCTTTGAAAGGACAGCACAGTTGGCTCCAAGGCAAACAAGATAAAAACATATCAAACATCAAATATTTACACTGGTCAATGAAAAGGAATTGGTATTGCTGTATACTGACTACACACATTTGCAGAGCTGTGGTTCCATGTCTTGTCATATAGTGATCATATCACTTATTTATATGCAGAGAAACAACTCAAATCGAGTATTGCAGAGATCCAAAAAAAGAGATTCCTCATTAAGATTTACTAGTCATCTGATTCTCTTCAAGTTACTGAGAGACCTTAAAAGATAAACATATATTCAAATTTTAAAAGGTAAACCATGAATGAAAAAATATCAAGAAAGATTCAGAATTGAACCAATGTCAAATGCTTTGTTTTGCACTGTCTGTTCAGTACTGATCTGTCTGAAGGCTATTTAGGTAGTAGCCATCTGCCTTAAAAAGTACTTGATGAAATCAGTATTTACGAAAGTCAACAGACCAAGTATTGGGAAAAATAATTTCTTGTCAGCTCTGTAATAAAAAGATATCCCAGGAGGGAATTGTGACATTTAAAGAACAGCCTGAAGAAATATTTTATATAAGCCAGACTAGTAAAAATCCCATTTAGTAAAATATTTACTGTGCTTTGCAAGCAGCAAAAATATCACATGAAACTGAAAGTTATGAAGCTTTGCCATAGACAATTTCAGAATATTTCAGAATATTTCAGAATATTTAAGGTTGGAAGGGACCTCTACAGATCATCTAGTCCAACCTTCCTGCTCAAGCAGGCACACCTAGAGCATGTGGCACAGGGTGGCATCCAGGNGGCATCCAGGCGGGTTTTGAAGACCTCCAGAGTAGGAGACTCCACAACCTCCCTGGGCAGCCTGTTCCACTGCTCTGTCACCCTCACAGTAAAGAAGTTGCTCCTCACCTGGAGACGGAACTTCTTATGCTTCAGTTTGTGGCCATTACCCCTCGTCCTATCGCTGGCCACCAGTGAGAACAGCCTGTCCCCTTCCTCCCTGCATTCTCCCTTCCTGAACTTAGGAGGGGAAAGAAGATTTCCAAAAGCAAGCCTCACAAAGTGTAAGAATGATTGGATTATTTTTAGCAAGAACAGAAAACATAAACGGTGTGAAGTGTTCGAACTTATTTAAATATGGATATGCAGTAGACTTGTGCCTCCTAAAAGCTAATTGTAGTGCCTCCTAAAAGCTAGCTGGCACTACAAATAGTGCTACTGTTTTTGCACAATCTACCTGGACAGCTTCCACCGACACTTGCCTTTAAGCCTCTGAATATCTAAGTACAGTATTGAGTAAAGATCCATTTTTTTACACTACAGATGAACTTTTTCTTACCCCTGGCATAATGATCTTCTCAATGTCTTTAAAGACATCCTCAAAGCTCTCAGGATCCTGCGGTGCACAATCTGGAATGAGCGGCCTCAGATATCCTGGTTCCACATCTGGGAAGACCTGTCGTTTATCTATCTTTTCCAGGTAATCGGCAACATAGTCCACCATCTCCTTCCCTCTTTTGCGGAACTCTGCGGCATCCATGGGTCTGGGAGGTAGGAGTTAGTGTCTGAAAAGACCTAAAAGAAAGGAAAGGCATTTTTGAAAGAAAGTATTGCTAGTTTCAAAAAAAAGACCTATTATTTAGGTGGTTTGTAGGATGACTCATGTTCTTTTAGCAAAAAAATTAGACTGTGTGTTCTTTTATTTTTCATATGAGGCCAAAGCCTGCACAATGTTACATTCTGCTCACTTCTATGTTATCTTGATGTTGTATAGAAGTAAATCACGCTGCCAGAGCTTCAGTGTCTAGGTCGTGAGGTAGATTAGATTTTAATATAGATAGCCTATATCTTTAGCTTAGAAACTCAGAAATCACAGACTGAACCCCTACTGCTACTGGTTTCACCCAAGGCTGTGACATCATTCCTGTATTATAATGAACTCTCCTGCTTTTGAAAAAGAGGTGACAGAAAAATTATGCTTTAATAATAATAACAATATTCAGCTGTAATATCCATGGAGATCCACTCTGCTGCCTCATCATTTTATTAAAGTTACTTCTTACCTCCTGTCTTACATCTAGATTTATTTACTCTTTACACTGGAAATCCATATGCTGTACCTTTTACAACAGAGCCTTATTTCTTACTGAGGTTCTTAATGGAAAAGAGCTCAAGTTGATCCATACTGTTTTGCAAGAGGTAGCGCTGCCTAGGGATAGCTCTATTCCCAAGAAGTTGAGCTGGAGCCCTGTGTGTGCTATGAGTGCTGTACATTTAGGCTGAAAAAGATGCAATCTGCTTATAAAGTGCTGTGCAAACATAAACTTACCTTGCTCGGCTGCCAGCTGCTGCCCATATGGCCCACCCAACTTTTGTCCATATGTGGCTGTGGGTTTTGGTTGCTCAATCAATGCAAGGTTGAGAACGGAGCACCTAAGAAGCTCCCAAGTGTCAATCATTCACACTGATTAAGTGATACTTTTTCTTGGTATCCAGTATGAAAATTGGCAAGTGAAACAAAGATGCTCACTGCCTTTGTAAAGAAGAATTATGACTAGTTCACGTACCTTGTTTTACCTAGCTCACATATCAAGATTTTCACTGCGTAAGGAAATAACTATACAAAGCACAACCTAAGTATCATGTGCTTAAAGGACAAATCCATAGACATCAATCATTACAGCTGAGGATTTATAGTGGAGGATGTCATTTTGAGCGAAAAGACACCTTTATGGGATTTATTATGTTTGAATTAGCACTGTCACATTGTCAGTATGTCTTCCATCCCAGACACATCTCCAAGGCCACAAAGAGAAGATCAGAGGTTTGTGTGGAGCAGCAGCTGCTGCTGTGTGGAAGGCAGGGTGCAGCTGTAGGTCATGAACCACATGGAAAAGTGGGGATCTGCACAACAGGGAGTTCAGGCCCTCCAGGAAATTGCCGTGCTTATTGCTATTGTGTTAGAGTTATATTACTGTCTTTAGGCATTACATAAGTGTTGATTTCACGCTCTCTGTGCTCTTCTGAGAGCGCAAGTGGGACCGTTCTAAGATCTTGCTGCTAGGTTGCTGGAAACACATTGCTAATAGTCAGTATGGTCCTTAGGGGATTCTGGGGGCAGTTGTGCGTGTCATCTCTGCTCTGAAAGACTGTGGTTAAGCAAGCAGTTCAGCACCTCCTCCTCTACAGGCAGGATGCTTCTGTTTTTTTCAGTACTCCCTCAACAAACCTTCAGAGCATTTTCATTTAACACATCTTTGATCACAGTTCAAAATTATAATAGCCTTTCTAAGTAAGTCTGTATGAAATGCAGTAATCAATGTGTATTTTTGTTGCAGCCATATAATTACATCCCAACACACAGCTATTTGGTTTAGACAATTTCACTAGAAATAATGTAAATATTGTATTAACCTATTTTTCAACAATATCTCCATCTTAACTCCTAACTAAAGTGATCACCATTTATGTTCTTCATTCATCAGCTCATTGCTATAGCATACTCTACAAACTTGCAAACAGCAAAACTGGTTTTGGTTTTGTGTTTTCTCCTTTTTGTTTGCTTTTTTAAAAAGTTTTACTCTTAGAGATGGTCACTGCAAAATTAAGAATTTAACTCCTAAGCACTAAAGTAATGACATTCAAGCAGTTAGTGAGCAAACTGATTCAGGACTTGTATCTCTAAGACATATGTCTTTAAGGTTTTCCTCTTCATATTTTGTACGTGACCTTCTGTGAGTGACAAAACCTACTTGCTATCATCCTTATTTTTAATTTTCTCCTCAACTGGTCATTACAGATTTCATTTCATCTTCTTAAAAGTATTACTTGCTATGGAAGCTGCATCTAGTAAACTGGGCATCTGACAATTGTAGTGCTTTCCAAACACTCTGAAAATGTTTAGTTACTTTGAATCTCCCTACCAGTATAGAATGTGTCACTTCTACCTCTCACATGCCTACATAACATATGCAACAACCCAGTGCATAGAAAATTTTCCTATATGCCAGCAAGTTTTAAAACTACAATAGAAAGAGGTTTTCTAAGAAGGAAGACACCTCAGAAAATATGTTCTTTAGGGGCTGAAATTAAAATAAAATAAAGAACATCCATATCTTCTCAAAGGTCGAGCTTTACAATCTGGGTGTGCTCAAGAGAGCGGCAGGCCTAGATGTATTGAACATTCGCTACTAATTGAAGCAGGTTTTTTTTTTCATTATGTGAACTCTGTTAACAAATCTAAAAAGAAATCTCCCAGAAATTAGAAAGAAATTTCCCAGAAACTGACTTCAGAGAGTTAAAAAGCAGCCTATCTTCTCCGAGGTCATAAGGAACAAGGCCCTGTGCGTCCACAAACCCCATATTTGCCATGAGGAATTTTAGCATCCTCAGCATCTACCAGCTCAATCTCAACTGAAGGGAACATGGCTCCTCAAGAAGCACCAACCTAATTATCAACCTCTAGTATTTCACAACTGAAGTTTGTGCCCAGATTCATTACCAGCCTCAATCTGATTGGTAGTATGCAAATTTATTAAATATATATTATGTCAGAGTGCTTTTGTTCCCAGTGAAAAGAAGAAAAAAAAAGATATTTTCATCATTGTTTGTGTCTTGGGAGCAAGTTCCACTCTCCTGCATAAGACTGAATTTTGCTATTAACTTCAGAAAAGAACAAGAAAAATAATGAACATATCTTTAATGCATCCTTAATTTTATTCATGCATAAGTGCTTTGCTCTTTAATTTTACTGGGATTTGTTAGAGGACAAGTATACTGCACAATCTAAAGCTGACATATGGTTTGCTGTTTTGTTTAAACTACTCTTTGTATCTTGGAGCAATATATTGAGTAATGAAGCTTTCTCATTATATGTGATTTCTGTTAACAAAATATTGTCTAAAATTTTGCATTTTCTTTAGAATTGTTTTTTGATCATAAACTACTACAAACTAAATATATATATTATTCAAATACTACCAGAAAATTAAAAACAAACCAGGAACAAGAAAAAGATGAGAGGAAAGAAAAAAAAAAAAACAGAGAGAAAAGAGAGAAAAACGAGAGGGGAGAGAAAAAGTGGAGGTATATTTCACAAATTATAATTTTATGAGCAGCTGCTCTTCAGTTCAAAGTAAAAGAGAAAAGCAGCTAATATCAATAAAATCTTTTAGCAGCTCTCATTAAACTCTAGAAGAAAGAATGTGTAGATTGGACACATTAATAGCGCCTTAAACTGATGGCTTCATTGGCTCAAAAATCCATTAACTGTATTTCTTTTCAACCTATGGGACAAGTGTAGTTTCTGTGCTGCCAAATAATTGTTGAAGAGTCAAATGTGATTTAAAGATTTGGGATATTACCACTGAAGCCAGGATGATTTTTCTTATTGAGCCCAACAAGCTGGAGGGAAAATTTGCAGCTGTTGCTGCTGTTAGACTGAACTTCTACCACTGGCATTAGGTGCATTGCCTGACGAAGGACTTCAGGATGAGTTAAATTTTAGTACAAGTAGAAAGGGGTTGGCTCTGCTTTGTTATTTCCTTTATACGAGGTAAAAAACAGGTAAATAAATAAAAGGCTCTAGATTTCTTGTAACAATTTAATTTCCTAATTAGAAAATAAAAAATGTTCATCTCTAGTTTTCACTTTCAAAGAGTCTGTAGCTTACCAGTTTTCAGCTTTGAGGTCTTTTTACAGTGAAGGGGGAGTGCTATTTCTGGGAAAAACTAAAAAATAATGCACAGAAATTATCTGGAAAATTGTATTATTATAAAAACTTGAAAGAGAATTTCTGAAGGTCTGCATGGCTGTCCCAAACTGTGACAAAAAATGAACTTCTGGGCATAGGGTATCCTGCATAAATGCACATAAACAGTTATAGTTAATTTACAGCCTGTGTAAAAGCAAGCAAATAACAAATGAGAGGTGCTCACTACACTGTGCAAACTTAGATTAAAAACAAATTATTTCTAAGCATCCCAGTTTATGCCTAGAATTACCTAAGTCAGCTCTTTATTAGCCACGCTCCCCGCTTCAGTAACCAGCCGTTGCATTAATCCAAATTTACCTAGGTGCATTCAATAACCACAAAGCTCCTGAAGGACAACGGGTGCTACTTACAGCCAGTTGGGAAGGTTTCCCCCTCTGCCCTCTCTCTTCCTCGTCCCGCTCTGTGGCAGCTCAGAGCGCAGGGGCCGCGGCTGCCAGCTGATATAGGCAGAGTGTCCCCGTCCCTCAGCCTATCACAGCCGCGGGCTTTGCATTTAACATGCTGCTGACAGCAGCATCTCCCCCTCCTCCCGCACCTCCTCCCAAATATATATCGGAGAAGGAGCTACGCGACAGGCCAGCCACTCTACCAGAGACAGGCTCGTTGCCTCTACTCGCTGTTGAGTGAAGCGGGGTGTTTTTCCTTGTGGGAACTCCACCTGAAGTCCTGCAGCGAGCGTGTGATCACCTGCTCTCGGTGCATGCTGTGCGCTCGCTGCCATTGCTGTAAAAGCAGCTCCCTGAACCCCTTTGGTGAAATGTTCTTTTCAGGGAAGAAATGCCGATGGACTTGGAGCACTGCT